AATTCGTAACGTAATATGTCAGCAATCACAGCATATTTTTGAATAATACTTCCTTTAATAAAAATACCTGCATTTACCATACGTTTAAGGCTATACTTTTTCACGCTATTAAACTTAGGGAGTGAACAAATCGAAAAAAAAAACCCTTCATGTTGGAAAGGGACCATAAACTACAAGCTGCCAACATTAAGGAAGCAAGGTTATTATTGTAACGGTAATTTTGACATTTGCAATTGAAAATTTGGCAAATTTGAACATTAAAATAAAGATTTTATAATTTCATGCGGATGAAGCCGCACGGGAACAGCTAGAGACGAATATTATTGAGGACGGATTTTTAACATCGACTATGGGTTATAATATTTTTAATAAAAATTTTATCGAAGACGTTACGAAAAGTGATGTTTTATTGTAGAATAAAGTGTTAGCTAATATCATATAGTTAAGAGGTTAAATTATAATACAAAGTAGCCTATAAAACACCCGCATAATCAGTTCCAGTCAAAGTTACGTCAAAATCGGTAGTACTGTTCAAATAAGACAGAAGAAACCGAGTTGCGGTTTCTCAAACTATTAAAAACGAGCTGTTGCCCGCGGCTACGTCCGCGTGGTATTAGAAAACATGCTAACTATATAAATTACAAAAAGCTATGTATCCCGGGAACCGGACATTTCTCTGGGATGAAGCTTATCTCATGTGAACTCCAGACTTTGTTTTATATCTGTGCCAAATTTCAATAAGATATGTTGAACCGTTGCAGAATGATCGAGTGAACATTATAAAACTAAATTAATGAATCCCACGGGAACCGTAATTATTCCCGGGATAAAAAGTACCCTATGTGTTCTTCCAGACTATGCTCTAAACCTGTGCCAAATTTCATGGAGGTCCGTTCAGCCGTTTAGGCTACAAACGCTAACAAACATCCATCCATCTAAACTTTCACATTTATAATATTAGTAAGATTAATACATACACGCGAAATTAATATTCATCATCATGCAGCTCACTATTAGTCCCCACTGAGGTGCTCGGAGCCTACTCTAAGTTAGGGTGACTAGGCCATAGTCAACCACGCTGGTAAACTGCGGGTTGGTTTTTTTTTTAACCTAATTAGATCAAAAAGGTGTGTACGACATTCCGCTATTTGATACGGAATGTCGGCCATTTGTGTGGTGTATGTGTTTCCGCTGTGAGGCGAGTCTGTGTGTATATTGTGCAGTGTATTTAAGTTACTACACTGCGGGTTGATTGACTTCACACATATCTTTGAATTTCTTCGCCGATATGTGCAGGCATCACGATGTTTTCCTTCACCGTAAGAACGTCGGGTTAATCATGTACATATGAAAATTCGAATAGTCGAAAATCACAGGTACAGCGGGATTCGAACCCAAGACATGTACATTACAAGTCAAGTGCCTAAACCACTGAGCCACCGACGCTCATAAAATCATTAACCCTTGTCCCTACAATGGACACAGCATGCTACTCTTTTATGCATTTCTTAAAAATGACAATGTATATTAATATTATAAAGAGGAAAATTTTGTATTTTTGGATTTTTGTATGTATTCGATTCACGTAAAAACTACAGGGCCGATTTCAAAAATTCTTTCACCATTAGAAAGGTAATTTATCTGGGAGTAACATAGGCTATAATTTTTTATTTTCACGCGAGTGAAGTCGCGAGCAACAGCTTGTCATAAACAATGCGTGAAGACACAATATTTTACGTCCTAAGATCTATGATAATCCATCTCAATACCATTCAACAACTACTGAGAACGGTATAACAAAAAATATTTTTTACTTCATCCATATATTCTGTGAGGTAAAGAGAGCGCGCGGCGCGGCCGGACTGTACCCGAGCGGCGAGACGAAAGGACGCGAGTTTTAAAATATAGTCAACGCCATCTATTGTCACGAACTTAACATTACCAATCGAAATATTTGAAATCGAAAAGTAACCTATAATTTATTACTAGCTTTTCCCCGCGACTTCGTTCCCACATATATAAAAAAAATTTACAAACTGTTGTGTTCTTCCAGACTATGTTCTATATATATGACAAATTGTATCGCTATTTAAGCCGGTTTGAAGAAATGACCTAACAAACATCCATACATTTATCCAAAATTTACAATTAGTAAGATTATCATTATTTAAGTGTTAAAAGTACAATATCTTAATATTTTAAAGACGAATATGTATGGATGTTTGTTACTAAGTTTCTCCAAAACGGGTTATCGGATTGCAAATTTGTCAGACATGTCGAACATAATCTATAAGCAAACATAGACTACTTACAAAAGTCGCGGTCGACTGTCATCTATACTAATATTATAAAGAGGAAAGATTTTTATTTTTGTATGTATTGAAATAACTCAAAAAATACTGAACCGATTTCAAAAAATATTTCAACATTAAAAAGCTATGTTATCACTGAGTAACATAGGCTGTATTATTACATTTTTTTTAATTCCAAGCGGGCGAAATCTCGAGCAACAACTAGTCTATACTATATTATGAAGAGGAAAACTGATTGTATTGAAATAACTCAAAAACTACTGGACCGAGTAAAAAAATTCTTTCACTATTAAAAAGCTATGTTATCACAGAGTAACTAAGGCTAAGTTTTTACTATTTTTTTATTTCCCGCGGGCGAAATCTCGAGCAACGGATAATCTATACTATTATAATAAAGCGTAAACACACACTTCTTTGTTGCCTAAGATGTCGGCAATTACAGAGTATTTTTGAATAATTCTTTTTTTAATAAAAAGCCCTACACTTACGTTACGCTTTAGGCTATATATTTTCACGCCATTAAACTTAGGGGGTAAATATTTTGGATAAAAACCCTAATGTGGAAAAGAGACCATAAGTCGCTGCCAATATCAAGGAAGCAAAATTGCCATATTAAGGTAATTGGTATTTTGACATTTTTAATTGAGAATTTGATAAATGTAAACAATGAAATACTTTTATTTTTCATAATTTCATGCGGATGAAGCCGCACCGGAACAGCTAGTAATAAAATATTTTTTTAAATTAGTTTAACAATAAACATGGGATTGTTTTATTTGTATTTGAGCCATTTCTCTCTAGAAGACTCTTCTTCTATTCTAATCATATTTCGCACAATACCAATATGAAACTAGAAAGAAAACCATATTTCATTTTGTTAAGAACCGTTTCGAACATCTCGTTGAACACGGTTATACAAAAATATATAATTGCGAAACGCAAATATGTTATTTATGCCATAAGTTGCTACACATTAATTTATATACTAATCGAGCTGGTTCTTCGGTCCTACATTTGTATTGTATCTTTGCTTCTGCGGCAAAACGATAGCGCCGTATATCCTACGACTAACGACATCTAGGGACGAAAATTGACAATTTTAGTCCCCTATACTAAAGACTAGGGGTGGCAAACTAACACGTGTTTTATAAATGGCACACGACATAATATTTTAAGCACGTCGATCATAAAAACACTAAAAAAAAAATAAGTAGGTGCACTATGGACGTGGTAATTTTTAATTTTTCAAGCATTTTTTTTAAACATTCTTTATACTTTGTCTAAATAAGATTTGACAATTCATTTCAAATTTAGTAGGGATGGGTTGTGTAAAATCAGTCATGAATCTTTTCGATATTCGATTTTTATTCTTATAGAAGTTGGAATCGATAGATTCACAGTTACAACTTATGAATTAAAAAAACACTGTTTTCTCAAATTAATAATGACCATAACAAATAATGAGAGTAAATAAATGTTTATTACTACTACAGTCATACATAATCGAATTGGATTTCGCTATTATTTTCTGTCATCGCTAAATTCTCTACACTATAATCAATACTAGAATTGTCTTATAAATTAGTTAACAAGAAAATAATAATTTTAGTTGAGTTCGTAATTGTTCGCTCTGTGTTTGTTTCGTCACTACGATACCTGTCTATTAAGTACAGCATTTAGCTTCATACAAATTGAATTCGATACTTCATATGCGTCATTTATCAAACTATCTATCTTATTTAGACAAACTATAAAAATGGCAGTTAGATGCAAAAATGTTTACCACCCCTGCAATAGACCGATAAGTATAATAGCAGTTGGTATTTTAGTGAACTAACAATATTATGATAGCGTCATATTTTGACCAATGGTCACTTTACTTATATACATTTGTATAAGAAATTCATAAAAAAAATCACTTTGTTTATTTGCGATTATGAGAGCGTAGTCTCTAAGTTACCATCATGATCTAGACTTTGACTGGTAAGCAGCCAATATCTATACTATTATAATAAAGCGTAAACACACACTTCTTTGTTGCCTAAGATGTCAGCAATCACAGCATGTTTTTGAATAATTCTTTCTTTAATAAAAAGCCCTACACTTACAACACGCTTTAGGCGACATATTTTCACGCTATTAAACTTAGAGTGTAAATATTTTGGATAAAAACCCTAATGTGGGAAAGAGACCATAAGTTGCCGCCAACATCACGAAAGTTTGCTAAGGTTTGTCATGTCATTTTGACATTTGCTAAAGATAATTTGACAAATGTAAACAATAAAATAAAATTTTCATAATTTCACGCGGATAAAGCCGCACGGGAACAACTAGTTTTAATAAAAAGCCCTAAACTTACGACACGCTTTAGGCTATATTTAACACTATTAAACTTAGGGTGTAAATAAATTGAAAAAAAATCTTCATGTGGAAATGGGACCATAAATTACAAGCTGCCAACATTAAGGAAGCAAGGTTATTATTGTAACGGTAATTTTGACTATTTTTTTTGCGCAAGTGTTTGTTACGGATAATCACAGAAAATGTTGAACCGATTTTGACGGGACTTTGACTGATAGGTAGCTAATATATTCGAGAATGTTATAGACAACTTTTTTAATACCGCAATCATACTAATATATGTATAAAAACGAATTTCCCTTTAAACTTGTACAGATTTTAACATACCCATTTCTTTAGCTTGTTTCCTCGCAGCCACATTTGCCAAATACTCGGGGCTGGTTTTATCAATTCTAGGCCTACCCCTCTTCCGTTTCGCGGGAGTGGAACTAGATTCAGGCTTTGGTCCATTACTGATATCTGGAATTCATACAATTGTAACATAAATCACACTAATATTATAAATGCGAAAGTTTAGATGGATGTTTGTTAGAGTTTGTAGCCTAAACTGCTGAAAGGATCTCGATGAAATTTGGGTACAGATGTAGAGGATAGTCTGGTAGAACACATAGGCTACTCACTTTTGTTTTTTTTTAATTCTGCGCGGACGGAGTCGCTGGTGAAAGGTAGTTATAATATAAATGATACTAATATTATAAATGCGAAAGATTAGATGTTTGCTTGTAATTTGTTTCCTAAACTGCTGGGATCTCGATAATTGTTATACATGTTGAGGATAGTCTGGAACACATAGACTACTTTTGTTTTTTTTTTTATTATTTTCACACGGCCAAAAGCTAGTCTATACTAATATAAAGCGGAAAGATTTGTATTTTTGTATGTATTGAAATAATTTAAAAATAACAACCTATTCAAATATTGTTTCATCATTGAAAAGCTGATATCACTGGGTAACATAGGTTACAGTTTTTACTATTTTAAATTTCACGCGGACGAAGTCACGCGCAGAAACTAGTATTAATATTTTCAAATGTCTGTAATGCAGTTATGCTCGGTCAACACTTGGCTAAGTACAGTTAATCAACTGGGTTGTGTGAACACTTGCGCCAGTGAGTCCAATTTATTGGCAGTCGCAACTGTCCAACTGTATTGGCTAAGTGTGAACCGGGCATTACGCTTATAATACTCGGAACACGAAGAATTTCATACAAAGACCTCATGGTTAACTTTACCGGTAGGAAACAATTTTCTGTAAAGAACATTTTGATAACAATTATACACATGCCACATCGTATATTATAAATGCGAATGTTTAGATGGATGGATGTTTGTTAGCGTTTGTAGCCTAAACGGCTGAACGGATCTCCATGAAATTTGGCATAGATGTAAAGCATAGTCTGGAAGAACACATAGTCTACTTTTTATCCCGGGAATAGTTACGGTTCCCGTGGGATTTATTAATTTAGTTTTTTAATGTTGACTCGATAATTCTGCAACGGTTTAACATATCTTATTGTAATTTGTCACAGATATAAGACAAAGTGTGATACACATGGGGTACACATGGGATAAGGTTCATCCCCGAGAAATGTCCGGTTCCCGAGATACGTAGATTTTGTTATTTATATAGTTCATATGTTTTCTAATACCACGCAGGCGAAGTCGCGGGCAACAGCTAGTAATACTATAAAGAGATTAAAATAATATTGGTACATAATACCATGAATAAAGAGCTTAAAATCTATAGAGTAGACTTGACACTCAACATTTTTCACAGACATTTAAACATATAGATTGAACAAAATCTTTTCACCGGCACTATCTCTGAAAGGTACTAAATCAGTTGTCAAGTTTTATCCCATCTCGTGTTGTATTGATATAATAAAACATTTCACTAAACTATAATAAGCTCCATCTTTTTTTAACTTCCCAAAAGGAGGTACTCAATTCGTCTGTTTATTTTTTTTTATACATAATATTGAGATGTGGTTTTGAGGAGTGTTACTAAGATTATATGAAAAATGTTTTAAGTGTCGACTATGCCTACTCTATACATCCTCTAAATCTCTTTAGTTGAATGGAATAATTTGTTTTAAATTTTCAACAACTTAACTGCTGTATGGTGGACGCAAAGGCTTTTGCAGAATATCAGCTTTTTTACCCTCAGGGTCATCTATACTATTATAATATTATAAAGATAAAAGATTTGTATTTTTGTATATATTGAAATAACTCAAAAACTACTGGGCCGATTGTAAAAATTCTTTCACCGTTAGAAAGGTAATTTATCTGAGAGTAACATAGGCTTCCCATCCTTTCCTTATAAGAAAAGGGTAAAAAGGTTAGTCCCTTTTTGTGTTTAGATGGACGGATGTTTATTAGAGTTTGTAGCCTAAACTGAACGGATCTCGAAATTTGTCACAGAAGTAGAGGATAGTATAGTCTATACATATAGTCTATTTTTTTTCACGCAGACCGTCCGGGGCAAAAGCTAGTATTTCCAATATTTACTTCAACATAGTATTTACCTCTCTCCGTTTTGTGTCTTGCTGCGTACAGTTCCACGGCGGGCGGCACGAAGTGGGAGACGGGCGAACGATAGTCCACACTCAACGGCAAACCGCCGGCAACTGAAATATTGTCAGCAGAACCATGTTTATATTGTCTTTAACACGATGGAAAAAAAAGAAGAAAAAAATTCTGTTTCTTATGAACACTGTATACGCCTATCATCTGCATGTTCTGCTTTTTTGTTTTTTCATTGTCTACAGTATATTTGGTTGTGAACTTTGAACATGCAATTTATGTACCTTTCCAATAAAATAAAACTGGCCAGTACAGTTAGACAGTAGCATTCATTAACTGAATTAGTAATTAACTGACATAATAAAACTGTCTCCAGCAAGTCAATACACTAACAGACCTGACCTACTACAGTCCTACTGTATTGACCAAGTATGAACAGTGCATTATCTGTGGTTCACTTGGCCAGTACAGTAGGATTACGACAGCCAGCCAGTTTGTATGTACTCACTGGTAAGTGTTCACACTGTGCCAATCAATTGACAGTCCTACTATTGTAAGCTTTACCAACTGCACTGCCAAATGAACCATGCATTAGACATTAAAGGGATGCCTAGTCTAGGCAATTAATTCCTAAAGTGGTCTATGGCATAGAGTGTACAAATCTATAAAAAAATGTTCCATTGATTATTTAAAACCAAAAACCTGATTTCCCTTACCATGATAACCTTGCTCCCTAAATGTTGGCAGCTTGTAGTTTATGGTGCCTTTCCCACATGAAGATTTTTCCAATTTATTTACCCCTTAAGTTTTATAGCGTGAAGATATATAGCCTTTAGGCTGCTTGCATGCTTTAGCATGTTATAAGTGTAGGGCTTTTTTTAAAAATTATTCAAAAATATGCTGTGTTTGCTGAAATCCTATGCCACAAAGTAATGTGTGTCTACACTATATTATATTTGTACAGAAGTACAGAATAAAATACCTTTATTGTTAACTTAACAGAGACATATATAAGGTACCTTTATTGAGGCCGTATATGTCCCCATTTGGCTCCAGCTTTAACTTCTTCTGCGGTGACTCTGGACCCTCGCTCGAGGTCGAGGACTCTTCTCTCTTCAGCTGCGGCAACACTGAATCTAGTTGTCCTTCGCACAGTGCCATGTCAGCTGGAATTTTATAAGATTCTTTTATATACCTTGATTGTCATATTTTTATCTCCCCTACCTATGACGTCGACCGAGTTTCCTCCAAATAACTCTATCATCAGTCATCTCAGTCACTCCCTTTTTGATCACGTCACCTTTCACACAATCCATCCATCTCTTTCTATGTCTACCTCTACCGATAGACCGGTCTTTATTTTCATATTTTGTATATAATATATTTTACATGATACTGTAGAAATATATATAAAAATAATGCATCACTGGCTACAGAATCCAATGACTCAAGCCACCCACTGGTGGCCACTGTCTTGACCTCTGTCAAGACTGTAGCTGTATAAAGTAACTGCTTTTTGATTGAGTCCCTTAATCCAACAGTCTAGCAAGAGCTTTTTGAGATTGGTTGATATTTTTAAAGCAAAAGACAAAGTATAGGCAGGAATTCAGACACGACAGGACAAAGTTAAGTCAGCCAGGTTATCAATTTATTCCGGAAACCTCTATTGTAACAGAACATCCTATCAAAGATTCAACAAACTCTGTCCTGTGGTTGGAACATAAAGCAGATGTTTGTAACCTTATTTGTCTAACAACTACTTTGACAGATTATGACAGGAATTTCAATGCTTGTTGAAGTACATTGTTAGAGGGCTAGGAAAGGATGGATTGTGTTAACTATGATAGTAAACTACCACCTTACGAACAAGAATAACATTAAAGAAAAGGTTGTGAACCCCTGATCTCAATTACCCAATTTTGAGACTGAGGTTTCAAGTGGATGATAAACCTCCATTGTGAGCATTGGAGGCCTAAAAGAGTAAGAGTTTTTGAAAAATTTCAGGTGTTTGTTGATTATCTATACTAATATAATAAAACGTAAACACACACTTCTTGGGGCGAAAGAAGTCAGCAATTACAGCATATTTTTGAATAAGTCTATTTTTTAATAAAAAGCCCTACACTTACACCACACTTTAGGCTATAAATTTTCATGCTATAAAACTTAGAGCGTAAATAAATTGGATAGAAACCCTAATGAGGGAAAGAGACCATAAGTTACAAGCTGCCAACATCAAGGAAGCAAGATTGCCAGGTATGTTATCATGTCATATCATTTTGACATTTGCAATTGACAATTTGACAAATGTAAACAATAAAATACAATTTTCTTAATTTCATGCGGAAAAAGCAGCACGGGAACAGCTAGTTGTTAATAATTATCTAAAATTAACCTAGAATTTAAAGTAAAATAATAAATTGTAAGTTTTTATAATCATTGCTTTTGCTACCAGAGGGTAAAGATGTCTTGTTTAAAAGGTTTATTTAAACTCTACTTGAGACTAACCTATATGTTATTAAGATTTTAAAGAGAAAAAGTGCTAAAAAAGTGGCCTTTAAAGTGTCTGCTTGACAAAATAAGTTTAAGAACCTCTATGTTTCTAATCCACAGGACAGAGTTTGTTAATTCTTTCATATGTTGTTCTATTACAATAGAAAAAGTTTCCGGAATAAATTTAAGTCTAATTTATAAGTAGGTTCTGCCTTAATTGGGTTTAATTCAATTGCACTCTTTTTTCTATTTTACAAGAATCTTCTTGAGATAATAAACAATGATTTAAAAGAATTGTGCTATTCATATGTGAAGCAATAACCAAGTAAGTAGTAGTTGATCTTCACCATCACCAGCTTGCTATATGTCCCCACCTAGGGGCTCGGAGCCTACCCTAAATTAGGGTGATTAGGCCATAGTCAACCACGCTGCACTGCGGGTTGACTTCACACATATCTTTGAATTTCTTCGCCGATATGTGCTGCATCACGATGTTTTCCTTCACCGTAAGAACGTCTGGTAAATTATGTACATATGAAAATTCGATAAATCGAAAATCACATTGGTACAGCGGGATTCGAACCCAAGACATGTAGATTACAAGTCAAGTGCTTAAACCACTGAGCCACCGACGCTCTTTGTGAGTTGATCTTACTAATATTACAAATGCTAAACATTAGATGGATGTTTGTTACGAGTTTGTAGCTGAAACTGCTGAAAAGATCTCAATTTGTCATAAATGTAGAGGACAGTACAAAACATATGCTTACTTTTATTATTTTTAATTTCTTGCTGTCGCAAAAGTTAGTTTCTATCAGTAGAACCTCAATAACTCAAACTTCGTTAACAAAACCTCTACTGTTTAGTGCAAATACAACCTCTTTGGCTGACAAGAATTATAAATACAGCCAAAGAGGTTGCATATTGGCCGCCAAGACCTCTATCATTAAAAAATATTAAGACGTAGAACAAAAAAGTGTACCAGATGTGACAAGAGAAAAGAAAGAATGTAAGAAATGTAAGCTTTAATAAATTGTATATTTTGTGTAAATATAAATAAAGCTGATTAATAACGGTGGTACTAGTTTACATTTATTCATCTACAACTTCAAAAATATGTTCCTTTCCCATCAGAGCACAAAATCTCTGCAACATAGACCCTTTATAACTTATATTTTGTTTCCCTTGGACTTTAACTTATTGAGTTTCTACTGTAATAGATTGATTTACTTTTACATACAAGTTTGACATCTTTAAAATCTTGTTATGTTAAGTTTTAACTTTGGTTTAAGTATATAAATAGTAGAAAATAAACTGCTGACACATTTACATCTTTATGTATTTGTATAATGCTATGTGAATTCAAACAATAGTCCTTTATCTGTCTGTCAGCAATGAGACTGTATGACATGTTTTTTTTATATTGCACAATAGACGAAATGTAATTATAACTCGTATATAAATTTAATATTTATACGGTTTCTTGAAAGTTCAATGACCTTTATTTCAGGTATATACTTATTAAACTCTTTAAAAACATACCAAATGTCATTGATATGTGTTGTAAACAATAATTGTATAAACAATAAAAATAACCTCAATTTTTTTGACCTAAACAAATATAGAGTACATAATAAACAACAAAAATTACGTAGAAAAATTTTAATAACTTTAACTATCAATATCGCGGGAAAACGGTCCGTAAAATTGTTTTGTAATTACTAAGTGTTATCAAGATATGTACAGTAGTAAAAAGTATCTAGAAGTACTCACCAAGAAACCATCTTAGTCGACGGGAAATAAAATGTAAATATTCTACACCCCCAACAAAGTTAAACTTACACAATAACAGATTAAGCTACAAATATAAGTTCATTTAAACTTAATTATAACAATGTATAGATTTGTAAATAAGTGATTTTTAAAAATTATAAAGATCCCAGCACATAAATCAATGCCCAACCAAATGGTGCTATGTTAAGACAAACGCAAATACATTAAACACACGATTTTACTAAATATTAAATGCACGCACTACATTATTGTGCAAAGGGATGACTTTTAAAAGTGATTACAAAAGTTTTCGACGTCGATTATCGGAGATATAAACAAAAAACGCGAAGCCACAAAACTATCTCAACGTCCATTTCTACAGCAAGAAGGTGATGCTACTGCCTACGAAAGGAGTGAAAAAGACGAATATATTTTCCTTCTAGCAACACAATAGGTTATCCGACCAATTTAAAACGCGCTTTTTGAGATAAACCAATACTAAAAAGACATATACTTTAAAGAAAAATGTTTTATTTTCGACTCTATTCCATATGAGTAAGATTTAATTTTGTTCAACACAAAATCTAGTGCCCTACTTTTAAAATGCTGTAACTTGTCTTTATAATAGTTAGGTTAATAATTAAAAATTCAAAAACTGTTAATTTTGTAAGTTCAGTATCAATTTTAGTACTATAATTATGTAGGTAAATTATAACATTTACCTTGTGATTATAATATAAAGAAAACCAGAAATAAACATGCAATTCTTTGACCATATAGCAACATTTACTGGGTGTGGGACGAGTGAACATTCAGAAGAAGGACAGTAAAACAGTGTGAAAAAGCGATAGTTATAGTTAGGTCGGGTTAGTGATGGGACTCGAGTGATTTTTCTTCACTCGAGTTACTCGGTACTGGTAACTTTCTCACTCGAATGCCACTCGAGTGAAGATAAGACTCGAGTGATGTTTATAGACGCGAGTCACTCGGAATATAAAAATCGAGTAACAAAACTTTTAAAACCAATATAACAATATTAATTTAACATAAAAAAATCATTTTCACGTTATCATGAATTTTACTCAAAAAATTTAAACAAAATGTGTAAAAATAGTATTTTCTTTAAACTAAACCTGTTTATATAATCAAGAAACCTTTTTATACAACTCTTAGTTGAATTTTTATAGTGTACTACTAATAAGTTCTTATCCATTTTAATTTATTCTAAAAAGTAATTTTTATGAAATCCAAATATGAACAGTTTTATTATGTTCTTACACAATTTAGATAACAAACATGCTTTAAAATTAACTTAAATGAAGCTTAAATAAACTCAACAAAACAACAGAAATATGTATTTTTAAAAATGTAAAAAAATTGACTTAAATTGCTGTAAGAATTTCTTACTCCGCTTGGTCTAAACCAAAAAAGTGGTTACGAGTCACTCGTAATTCGAGTCAACTCGAGTCACTCGCAACTCGAGTTGTCAAAAATTTCACTCGAGTCCGAGTAAGATAAAAATGACTCGAGTCACTCGAGTAAAAAGCAACTCGAGTCCCATCACTAGGTCGGGTGTTGAGTTGGCATTGTATTATTACAAGTTGCTTATCAAGAGTCGCGTTATCGCTTGAGCGAGGTTATTTCTTTTTGTATAGTTTCTCTTCATAATATTCATCAGAAGTGAACATAATAAATCTTATACTGCGCATTGTTCCCTTTCAATATTTCGAAATAAAACAATTTATTCTGATTCGATATAAAAATATATTTACAAAATGTAAAAAAAAAAATGTAATTAGGGCGAAATATTAACAATTCAACTTTTTCTCAAGTGTTACAGTTTTATGTACAAAACGTTCGTGATCCGTCCTCAAAAGTTTTAACAACCTGTTTTGTGACGCAATTAAAACCAACTTGTTTACAATGAACTGATTTATAAAATTTTAATTTTCCTCAACTTCATTTGCCTCGTATTTAAGTACCTAAGCAAAATGTTAAATAAAATTTTTATTTCTAACAATTAATTTCCATTTATAATCAAAAAACATTGATGAAACATGATTACAGATTCAATGACTATTTGCTAAAAAAAAAACTGACAAAACTGGCGCCAAAAGGTCATTGAACTTTCGTAATATTTTTAAAATTTACTTCTGTTGTACTCTAGTAAGTAGTACGGCGGCGCGGCGCCCCAATCCAGCTATGAAGTGGTATTGTTATCAGAAATATCGATCGTGTGCAACGGTGAACTTGAATCGACAATCAATACTTTGTCACCTAGAGTGGGGAAAAGCACTAGAAAGAGATAAAACGATGCTTGCCTAAAAATGTTTTATCTAAATAATTACCTAATGATTATGATTCGAGCTTGTAAATATTACAAGAGTTAGTTTTATTCAAATTATAAAACCGCCATCAGTATTTCTTGGTCTCAAAATGAGATAATTTAAAAAGAAACTCTTGGAGAAGGACAACAAAATAAAACAAACATAAATGTTGATCGTTTATAACTCTGTAATTTATGTATAAAGGCCAAGGTAAGGCCAAAGTGTGTCAAGAGGTCAAACTTTCGGCGGAGCATTTTGTAATTGTTCTAACGGTGAACAATGAAGCTCAAGAGATATTTAGATAAAATATAAGCCTACCCAACAAAATTAGCGCCTCTGGACATTAATGAAAGACCCTATGAACGTATTGGAAGTTTTCTTAAAATTAACCCAAGTCTGCAAGGTCGCGGATTCTATTCGACATTCACCTCCATTTATCTGAATAATGCCATCTAGCGGTGAATTTTCTATTTTCTCGGTCTTGTGTCATAGAACTTGTCTATGATATTCTTATTGTAATCTCTTTTGTTTACAATAGATAGGGTTGTATGAAAAATAGGAAATCGATTTTTTAAAACATTGCTTGTACAGTAATGTGTCAAAAAATTTATGTTGAATAAGTTGTATAAAAATGTCTGCATATCATTTGACCAATTTGTTTACATCGTTTAAATTAATGAATTTATATAATTAGCAATGGCATAATTTCATTATAATGAACTTTTGTGTACTTTGTCGTTTTCAAAACTCATATTAAGTTTAGGATCGATTCTATAATATCGATTTCGGTATGTCACATATCAATCATAGATTACAGAGCAAAATTCAAATGGACAACACTATTTGAGAAATAATTTTTGTTTTGTTTAATAAAATTGTTTATTTATAACAATTTAAAGTTATTTGGAGTATATAGATAGGATTATAAAGATTGTTTAAGAGTAAAAAAGTGTACATACTTTCATGTTTATGCCATTACATGAATTTTAACTGATAATAAGATTAATATAAACAGTCAAAGTTATAGTAACGATGGTGTTTGTGTGAACATATATAAATATTGTTGAAAAAATGAGTAGATGCGATTTTAAAATCGTTTTATTGGGCAGTGAACATGTTGGAAAGACAAGCTTGGTGCTACGCTTCGTTAATTGTAGATTTAACGCGAGTACACCTTATCAAAACGTAAGTAAACATTCAAAACAACTTATTTACTTTTTACTATGATTCATCTCTTTGTTGTTACTGAAGCGACATATTTTTTATCTACATTCCTAATCTCATCTTACTAATATTATAAATGTGAAAGTTTAGATGGATAGATGGATGGATGTTTGTTACAGTTTTTAGCCTAAACGGCTGGTCGGATCTCTATAAAATTTGGCATAGGCTACTCATTTTCTTACTTTTTAAGAACGCAGTCGCGTGCGAAAGGTAGTATAACCTAAAGATTTTAATATAAAATGGACGACATATTTTAAACAATAGTACTTCCTTTAAGTTCTAATAAATATGTACTTAAACCTCAGTTTAATCCAATAAAGAAATCAATTTTAGTACTGGATCACAACTGGAATAATACACACACTGGAATGCAATTGGGATGCAATATGAATAAAAATAATTAAAATTTTCAAATATACTTTTGTACTTTCCAGACGATAGGAGCGGCATTTTGTGCAAAGACAATGCATTCTAATGGCAAAAACTTCAACGTTGGTATCTGGGACACTGCTGGTAGTGAGAGGTATTTAGTAAATAGAATTTTTGTACAAAATTTTTATAGCAGGCACTTACAATCACTAAACAATAGCACATCTGTTGTATGATTGTCAGTTGTTTCAAAGCCTCAACTGTTTAGTTGCACAACTAAAAATCGAGTAGTGTACACACCATATAAGCTCCTAGGAAAGAGAGACCATACAGTTTTTTTTTTAAACATAAAATGGCAAATGAGCAAGCGGCCACCTGATTCCGCCAAAATGGCGAAGCGACTGCTGCCCATAGACATCCGCAATTGCAGATGCATTGCCTACCCTTATACGACGGAGGAGGAGACGTACATAAAGAGGATATTTCCCCTTCCTGTGCGTCCTTCCTATGCATCTCCTCCACCGTCAAATCCACTTCCCCTTCCCAACCTCTCCTTATAAATAAAGGGCAGTAAAGAGAAAGGGACTTAAATTAGGCCTCCGGCACCACACTCATCAGACGAAACATGGAATTGCTTCCATTTCACATTTGTCTTCTGTGTGGTCGTGGTATTACTGGGGTGTGCCGGCCCATTCGTGCTAAGATGTTAAAGCGGGCACTACCACTATAGATAGAGAGATAAATAGAGATACACTGTAAATAGAGATTGTGCACACCATATAAGCTCCTAGGAAAAGATAGACTAAACAGTTATGTGATTGTTTAGTCCATGCAATCTTAGGGTGAGACACATGTAAATAAAATTAGTAGTTGTCATGTGTATTCCCAGCCTTACAAACTTCTTTGCAACCAGACAAAGATCTATGCTAGATTGGGGTTAATAGTGGTAGTGCCCGCTTTAACATCTTAGCACGAATGGGCCAGCACGCCCGGTGTATTAACACGACCACACAGAAGACAGGCGTGAAATGGAAGAAATTCCGTGTTTCGTCTGATGAGTGTGGTGCAGGAGGCCTAATTTAAATCCCTTTCTCTTTACCACCCTTTTCTTATAAGGAGAGGATGGGAAGGGGAAGAGGATTTGACGGTGGAGGAGATGCATAGGAAGGAGAAATATCCTCTTTATGTGCGTCTCCTCCTCCGTCGTATAAGGGTAGGCATCGCATCTGCAATTGCGGATGTCTATGGGCAGTTGCTTCGCCATTTTGGCAGATTCAGGTGGCCGCTTGCTCGTTTGCCACCTAATGTTATAAAAAAAAAATATAAGTTATTCTAAGTTTTTTTATATCTATTTCACATTTGTTGTTTCTCTGATGATGCATACATCTTTATTAGTGTACATATCTGAATTTTCTTTCTTTCATAGAATATCCCTTGCAACAGTACATACTTCCTCTACCTTTATAGTAAGATTAGCTGTTGCTCTCGACTTCTGCGCCAAATTAAGATAAATAAGTAGCCTATTATATGCCCTATGTCTATGTCAACTACCCTTCCGTGAAAGTCTGGTCGAAATTGTCCCAGCCATTAAACGCGGCATGCGGACAGACAGACAGAGACAAAGAAAATTAAATGCGATTTTCGTTAACAGCAATGCAAATACATCACCTTTCCGAAATCTGGAATTTTTCCGATACACACAGACACTCCAATTTTATTATATGTATAGATTTGATTTTAAAATTAGATGTTAGAGTGTGTATACTAAAATGCCAAATGGATCTAGACATTTAGATACATGTAGAATATGGTCAAGAAAAGAACACATAGGCTTTTTTTTTAAATCCCATGCTGTCATAGCTGTGGACAACATAACAAAGATAAATAGAATAAATGTGTTATTTTTGTCTACTCAGTCTATTGTGTCTTTGCCCCTGTTAAACCTAAAGTTGTGTTCTGTAGCAACTTTGCAACTGTTGCTCGTGACTTCGCCTGTATGAAATAAAAAATTTATTAAAAATTTACCATTCTAATGGTGAAAGATTTTTTTAAATCGATTTAGTAGTTTTAACGTGAATCGAATACATAGAAAAATACAAAATATCAAAAATACAAATCTTTCCTCTTTATAATATTAGTATAGACTTGAGCCTTTATGTCATCTTATACCTTTATATTTCAGATATGAAGCGATGACTAAAATGTATTACCGAGGTGCGCATGCAGCGATCATATGCTATGAACCATCTTCTTATGCCTCCTGGACTCGATTACGGCATTGGCTGCAAGAATTAAGAACTGTGGAAGAAGTGAGTCTTAAAATTTATTAAAATTAATACTTACATTCATGATTAAAATATTTTTGTATATCACTAGCTGTTCCCGTGCGGCTTTATCTGCATGAAATTATAAAAACTTTATTTTATTGTTTATATTTGTCAATTTCTCAATTGAAAATGCCAAAATTACCCTTACTCAATGTTGGCAGCTTGTAGTTTACGATCTCTTTCCCATATGTAGCGTTTTTTTTTTATTTATTTACCCCTTAAGTATGGTAGTGTGGAAAAATATAACTTAAATTTTGTTGTAAGTGTAAAAATTTTTATTAAAGAAGGAATTATTCATAAAATATGCTGTGATTGCTGACATCCTACACCACAAAGTAGTGTGTGTTTATGATTTATTAGTAAAGTATAGTATTTACTTTCAGGTTAATTTGCCATGTATTTTTAAGTAAATATATCTTAATTTTTTTAATTTCCAGGATTGCAAAGTATATCTATGTGCGACTAAGAAAGATCTTCTTGACTCCGGAGTTGTGACACAGGAAGTCCCAGAAGACATAATAGCAACATACTCGCAGGGCTTGTCCGGACATTTCTGTACATCAAGTAAAACTGGAGAAAATGTTGGTAAGTGAATGACATTATTGGTTTCTCTGTTTCTTGTATGCTGTTCGCGATGCAATAAACCTTTTTGTGTTCATACTTATAATACTTTTTTAAAATAAGAATCTATATTTTATTTATTAACGAGCTGTTGCCCCCGACTTCGTCCGCGTGGTATTAGAAAACATACGAACTATATAAATTACAAAAAGCTACATATCCCGGGAACCGGACATTTCTCGGGGATGAAGCTTATCCCATGTGTACTCCACACTTTGTTTTATATCTGTGACGAATTTCAAAAAGATATGTGGAACCATTGCAGAATGATCGAGTCAACATTAAAAAAGTAAATTACGAATCCCACGGGAACCGTAACTATTTCCGGGATAAAAAGTATCCTATGTGTTCTTCCAGACTATCCTCTACATCTATGCCAAATTTCATCGAGATTCCTTTAGCCGTTAAGGCTACAGACATCCATCTATCTATCCATCCATCCAATCATTCATCCATCCATCCATCCATCCATCCATCCATCCATCCATCCATCCATTCATCTATCCATCCATCCATCCATCCATACTTTCGCATTTATAATATTAGTAAGATTATTTTTGTAAAATAATTGAATTAGTGTTCAATAAGATGTCACAACGCTAGGCTGATTTGTACATACATAAATTCTTGCCATTTTTATTAAAAGTTTTGGTTATTTTCTTCTTATTTATTCTTCGCGCGTTTCTTCTTGTTCATAGTCGTCTCTTTCATATGCTAATTGTTGCTCACCACATCACATCACCAGCTCACTCTACGTCCCCACTGAGGGGCTCGGAGCCTACCCTAAGTAAGGAGTGACCTGTAGATTACAAGTCAAGTGCTTAAACCACTGAGCCACCGACGTTCTTAATTGTTGCTCGCGTCTTCCGAAATAAATATAGCCTATGTTACTCACAGATTAATTACCTTTTTAATGGTGAAAGAATTTTTTATATTGGCCCAGTAGTTTTTGAGTTAATTCAATACATATACAAATAAAAATCTTTTCTCTTTACAATAGTAGTATAGACTTTCTGTTGCTCGGCACTTAGTTTGAAATTAAAAAATATAGCCTTACTAATAACATAGCAATTTATTGGTGAAGGAATTTTTGAAATCGGCCTAGTAGTTTTTGAGTTATTTCAATACATACAAAAATACAAATCTTTCCTCTTTCAAACACATTAAAAAAGTTTAAGTAAAACTTAAGTATTTTATGAAAATAACACTTTTTCTTTATGGGTACATATTTTCTCTGTTATAAAAAAAATCAGGAAAAGGCAGACACTAAGCTGAAGTCTTATTTTTCAGAGGAATTATTCCAGAAGATAGTAGACGATTGTGCAGAAGATAGAGAAGTAATGAAGAACGTAGAAGAAATGAGAGTGCAGCTCGCGAAAGAAGAAGCGGCTTATAGATCTAAGAATAAAGAATATTGTTATTGCTGATATATCCGACTCGAAGGACCAAGTAAGATATCGACATTTAATATTTTTATATTATAGAAAGGAGAACAAAGAAAAATTAATGTTTTACGCTTAAAGTTGCTTGTAATTCGTATTTTTCTATTACGATTTTTTAAGCAAAGTTTTTAAAATTGCTTTAATGAAGACAAACTAAATTTTGCAATAACCTTATTTTTATCCAATATGTAAGAGTTAGTGTAAATATGTAACGACATATTTATATAAAAAGGATAATGAAATTTAACGACCAAATTCTGAAACGAATTTCAAATACTTTTCTTTGTAAGTACAGCTTACAATCAGATGTGAATAAGTCGATGGGATTTCAATTTTAAGGCCTCAATATTTAAGACAAGGTGTTAAAAATATTAAAACGTAGCCTATATCACTCATTGATAATATAGCTTTTTAATGGTGAAAGAATTTTTGAAATCGGTCTAGTAGTTTTTGAGTTATTTCGATACATAAAAAATCCAAAAATATTTTTTGTAACATCAGTATAGATGTTGTTACATATTTTAATGTCTTTTCAATGTAAGGCCGCTTTTTTTTGTTTTTTTTTCTTCTTTTTTATTTCATTTTTGTAGCTTTACTATTAGTTGTTAGAGGTTTCCTAAATTTTTGTGATATGATATTGAGGCAGCTTAAAAATTTCAAACCAAAGATTAGTTTTGTGTATTCGGGTGTATAAAATTTTCTTTTAAATGCTTGCTCTTAAATATTTTTGACATTTTTATATAAAACAATAAAGAAAATTCTTTTAACTACTTAATACATCTATATCTATATGGATTTTTTTATTAACCACAGGCAATCAGCCTTTACCTTCACCATATCGAAGTGATAATATAAAAAAAAAACTTTTTTTTTTAAAAAGTAGAATAAGATATAAAAAAGATAAAAAAGAAGACGAAACTAAAAACCTCATTCAACAAAATCTGTTATTATTATATGATGTTGGACGTTACAATAGTAAATTCCATTACTAATATTATAAATGCGAAAGTTTAGTTGGTTTGTTAGAGTTTGTAGCCTAAACTGCTGAACGGATCTCGATGAAATTTGGTATAAACGTAAATGACAGTCTGGAAGAACACATAGGCTACTAATTTTTCTTTAATGCCACCCGGACGGAGTCGCGGGCAGCAGCCAGTACAAACATATAGACAAACTTCCACATGAAATATTGTCCTCTGTCAGTCGGGTAATATAACGACGATCATTCGCGTAACTTATGACGTCATTGTATCAAGGTCCCATGTTACATGAGTATTATATCTATATTTGTATTGTAATTGCTTTAATTATTTAAGATAAAATAAACATATTTTATACAGCAGATTTAGTTTTTTTATTGTATGGAAAACTACCTAAACTTTGCTCTTTTAGAGACAACTGTATAGGCTGTTGAGTACTCATGTAATTTGCTTAAAGAAGTTTCTAATTTAGTTAAGTAGTTTTTGAGTTTTTTGTAGTTTTTAAGTTTTTTGTGAAGATTAAATGTTTTTATGTATTGGAAATGTCACTTTACCCTTACCTTAGAAGGATAATTAGGACTTCGGCACCAATCATCATACAAAACGTAGAATGTCTAGACTAGGGGACCTAGCACGAAAATTTCCTAGCATTTCGTTACTATTAGATTTGTGAATTTATCGTAAAATAACCGACAAATGTCAATACTCAACATCGATCGTATTATTTTTATATAGAAAATACAAATTTATTTTGTACTATTCCGATAAAATTTACGATTTAACTGGAATATTTTTATTGATACGTGTATGAAAATGAGAAGTGCCCAGTGTTTTCTTATGTTGCAGTGCTATGGTAATTATATTTTAAAACGTTTTTATTTTAATTAGTACTAGCTGTTCCCATGCGACTTCATCCGCACGAAATTCTAAAAAATTCATCTTATTGTTCACATTTGTCAAATAATCGATTGCAAATGTCAAAATGACATGACATCTCAAACCATGGCAACCTCTCTTCCTTGATGTTGGCAGCAACTTATGGTCTCTTTCCCACATTAGGGTTTTTATCCAAAATATTTTCCCCTAAGTTTAATAGTGTTAAAATATATAGCCTAAAGCGTGACCTAAGTGTACGGCTTTTTATAAAAAAAAAGGGTTATTCGAATATATGCTGTGATTGCTGACATCTTAGGCAAAAAAGAAGTGTGTGTAACGCTTTGTTACATTAGTATAGATATTTGGGTTAAATCAGACGTGGGTAGGTCAATGATCCACTGGGAGGCAGACTGATGGTCAAAGGAGTGGGGAGTTCTTTTACTTTTATTTTTTCTGACTACGATAACAGCGTCTCTCAGATGCTAGATTAATTTTCTTCACCGTAAATAGTAAACATATTAGAAGAGAAACTTGTAATTTATTTTTTATTCCCCAGTAGTTTTTGAGTTATTTCAATACATACAAAAATACAAATCTTTTCTCTTCATAAAAATAGTACTAGTTTTCGCCCGCGACTCCGTCCGCGTGGAATTAAACAAAACAAAAGTAAAGCCTATGTGTTCTTATGGTATCCTTTACAACTATGCCAAATTTTATCGAAATCCGTTGAGTAGTTTAGGCTACTAACGAACATCCATCCATCTAAACTTTCGCATTTATAAGTAAGATAGATTAAGAAATAAATTTGATATATAAAATTCCAGTAATTACTCTAGCTACCAAACCGAGAAGTGTAAACCTCGCTTTAGAGACGACATTTGAATTCAATAATAAACAAGATGTGTCGATTATACAAAAAGTACGCAATTTCCTTAATAAAATAGAAAATGCCGTTGACACGAAGTTAGCTAAACGAAACGGAGAGACGACGGAATTCACAGATTTCTTACAAGATCTAATATCAACAATAAATACGTATGAGGATGATGATTTTAAACAAGTATTTAGAGTGTTAGACGATGTTGTACATAATTTTAAAACTAAAGATAATAAATTTAATGAAATATACAATAATAGATTGAAATATCATCTATCAGATATGTTGAAGAAAATACATAAAGCACCAGCTAAATTTCTAAGAACTCAATTGAAGAGGAACATAAGAGTGATGAAAAGAAAGGATGTAAATATTGATTTTTTGAAATTTTTAAATATGATCTATAAGAAAAAATCAAATATATTGAAACAGACTTTGGATAATTTTAAAAATTACGGTAAAAAAACACGAACATCAGATGTTAGTTTGAATTTGAGAGATATAATACAGAAGGCTGTGAAATCATTAGTCAACGATAGATATACCAATTTGAATGAAGGTTCACAAAGAGACGTTCAAACGTGGATAAAAACATTAACGAAAAATCCTGAACATGATGAAATCAATCAAAAGGAAATAACATCAAAAAAAACTTATAAAAAGAAGAAACATGTGAACATAAAAAAATATTCGTTCGTAACATTATATCCGGAAATGATTACTTACAATATAAAATATTTAGATGAAACGACTAGAATGAAAAAGGAAAAATATCTTAAAGACAAATATGAAATTAAAGAATTCAAACCAGTTTTTAACGACAACAGTTCTAGTTTGGAATACAGCTGGCAAACTCGACCAACACAAAAGTATGTAAAATATTTTATTACCAGCTATTGGTTATTAGTAATGTTAGGAACAAAATTAATACCGTGCTGTAGAGTTGGCGCAACTCTATATTATCTGCATAAACGTCATGTCCCTAGCTGACAGCTGTCAATGTCACTAGAAGTATGGATAGATTTGTCGCGCATCCTAAGTCTGGCGAGAAGTATTACTCTGAGTTTAAAGCGACAGTATCAATTAAATAAGTTGTCTAATAGTAATTAGATTAATTTTAGGAGGTAATACAGTAATTTGTGATAATTTTAACCCCTATATGCATTATACAAAAGTTATTTAACATGCCACTTCAAAAATGTTTGACGTTTAAGAGATAAAAAAATCAAGATTACTCGGAAATGGGTGACTTTTGTATAATGCATATACTGGTCATTATCACAAATGATCCCAACTACCTCCTAAAATACGACTAATTACCAATAAACTTGTGTAGAGGAAGTTTGAAAGTAGTGCTAGTGGTAGAGAAATTGAGAAGCAAAAGGTTAGCATGACAAGAAAGAATAAAGATTGAATGTGGCTACAAAGGTAGAGGAAAACTTAATGTATGTATGGATTGTATGAAAGATATCCTCAAGGGAGTGAATTCAGATATGACCGTTGATATAGATGTATGGAAGCAAATTTTTTTTGCCCGAGGGAAATGCATCTTACGCATACTCCTGCAGGGGGGGGGGCAGTAGTTATGTGGGACTTTCCCCCCTATAATTGGGGGGCATACCCACTAAACCCCTCCGTTCCTCCAACGCCTTAAGCCGAGGCTGCGGGCACGCTTTCGCTTACGTCCGCGTCCAATGGAAGCACATACTGTACCTACCGTCCTTAGGGACAAGGCCAAGTTGATGGATGAAAGAGTATGTATGTATGCTTTTTAATGCTTTATTTACAAACAAGTAATTAAGTCGATTACAACTATACAAGAAGTCGGTCAAAAAGGCTTGAAGCCTAACCTTTCCATTCCTACTTTTATAATGAATGTATGGGAAGAAGAACTTGACTTATCGTGGGATGGGACGCATAGGTAGGAATATTTTGGATGTCTATGGGCGCAGTCTTCTCGTCTGCCACCTTTTAATGTTTTTTTTTTATTTCTATTTTTATTTTTTTTAATACAGGAAAAGAGTAACACCATTCTGGCAGACAATACCTAAATCGGTGAAAATGAGATATCCGAAAAATAAACCGTTCGGTATATACAATAATCCGTATAAATTTCAACTACCGTATATGCTTAGAAGAACTGAATTAGACGAATCAAATGGTACGAAAAACGAAACGTGTCCGAAAGAAATTATGTCCGCGAATTATCTGTCAAAGATAAAAAAACTCGAAGAGGAGTTACAAAGAGTAAGGGAACAATTGAAAGCAAAAGTTACCACATTAAAAAAAGACGGCGATACAGATAATGTACAGAATAAAAATAACGAATTATACTTCAGAGTATCAGATTTATCGTCACCGGTGACTATAAAAGATGTAACGAATAGACCGACAATGATCGAATTTAAGTCGATATTAATAAATAATACGATAGAAAATAAAACTAATGACAGTGAGGAAGTTTCTCATGAATCGAGAGAAATGTCATTCGATTTACCATACAATATGACGTTCATAGATCATAGAAATCATTCAATTTATATAACAAATCAAACGTCTATGGAATTATTCTCACCAGAGACAACGTTGGTTGTGAAAAATGTCACAATGAAACCAATAAATAAACCATTAGCTATAACAACTAATTTAACTGATGTAGAAGATACGACGATATATTTTAAAAAAATTAATAATACCAGCCATGAAGCTATAGATCATTAAATAAAAAAAAAAACTATTTTTGTCGAGAGATCGTCGATTGTTTCTCAGTCAATTCAACTGTTTAGTTGCACAACTAATCGAGTAGTAACCTCCATGTAAGCTCATAGGAATCAAAGCGCGACGAAACAATTGTGCGATAGTTTAGTTTCAAATGTGCGCACGCTTTTAATCGGATCTTAAAATGTCCGCTTCGTAACCATTTTACAATGACAGATAACAATATTTTAATGTAATTTGGAGTTTAATCCTTTGTTTCCGTGAAATTTAAAAAAGATAACGTAGATTTGTAATGGTGAAAGAGTTTTCGACTCAGTAGTTTTTTAGTTTATAATTTTAGTGCAAGGAAATAAATAAAAAATATAATGATTACTTTTTTTATTATAGAGTGTACAAAAATTACATTTTTTTTTAATTATCTACATATAAAAAGACAGTTTTATAGATTAAATATACACAAAGGGTGTGTAGAAAAATATCTTTGATTATATTTCTTAAAAAATGTATTTATATGAGTTTTATTATACAAAATATTTATTCGATTTTTATAAAGTTTTAAATAGTCTATATGTCATTATAATAAATGCGAATTTTGATTTTTTATAACGTAAATGCTTATATTGCTTTTTTCTTTTTTTTAAATATTGCTTTTAATTGTGTCATTCTTAGATTTCTAAAAAATTACAAAATTCCATAAAAATATGGATTGTTAACATCGAAAAATCTAAAATATACAATCTCATAACATGGTTTTTAATATTTTTTCTTTTACACAATCTCTTTTCATTCATGATTAACAATTTTATCATTAAAAAAAATTATGGCACACAGTTTTATAAAATGTCAAAATTTATTTTTTGCCCAAATGTCAATATACTTGTACCGTAAACGACTTGTTTATATAGAGTTAAATATTTTATAAGAAAACTACTGCGTTTTTCATCAGATATTTGTCGAACTATAATTAGTAGTTTTTTATAATTTACTACTAGGTAGTAATCTCATAGCTTCCCTAAAACCACTATCACTAGCGCCGTGTACTGTAGAGAAATGTGTCAAATCAGTCGCTTCTCCTGCAAATAGCACTTTAGGGACCCCAGCACTATCCACTAGTGGTTTCCCTAAATCAGCCCTAGAATTAGGGTATTTCATTGACGTCACACTATCATAGGAATAGCTACCCCTAGTGTATGGATTTGTAAACCAAGTTGTCCTGAAAAGATTAAAATCTAATTTAAAAATGCTATTTGTTAAAAGCGCCATCTATTGGCAAGAAAAATCAAACCATAAAAAAATATAGAATTATTTAGTAATTAATAATTCTTTTTTATGTTCAAAACTAAAGCCGAGATTTAATAAACACCGAAATTTGTTAATTACAAAAAAAAAAAACATTTTTTTTTCTACATAAATAATAAACAAAGGTAAATAAGTGCAAAGATATTTAGACTTTGTGATATTCAAATTATTTTTTTTAAAACCAAGAATATAAATAAATATAAGAATTATAATGAAACTTACCTAAGCATTCCCGTGGGTTCAGGAACAGTTGTATTAGCACCGAGGAACCTTTGCAGTAATTCTATACATTTCCTCTTCACAACATCTTCTGGTAACTTCTCTACCTGTCAAATATTAGAAATAGAAATAATTTACTAAAAAACAAGACATTAACAATTACAATAACAGTTATACCAATTAAAAGACAAATACAAATTGTGGTTAATATACTAATCTGGTGATGCCCACACTAGGCAATGCCTGTATCGTGGGCATCGGAAACAGCAGGAAAAATCTTTTCATACATTAATTACTAAAAACCTACGTTTACGGCGTTTCGGTATTATTTATCAATTATATATTGCTCCATTATAAATGAAAAAAAAACTATCAACTTCAAGAAGATAGCACATATTGTTCAACTGTTATTGGCAATTTTTAACCCTACCGCATTTATTGGTTAAGTTTTAAAGCCTTTTTTGAGCCTCATATGTTTGGATGATCCCTTTTTTGTAGAAAAACTTTACTTTTGCCGTTAAAACTTCCAAAATATATATTTTGTAAATTAACTATATACAATTAGCTATAATTATTTCTCTATATCTAACAACTAGCTTCCGCCCCCGACTCCGTCTGCATGGAATAATAAAAAAGTGTAGCCTATGTGTTCTTTCAGACTATCCTCTACTTCTATACCAAATTTCTTCGAGATCCGTTAAGCCGTTTAGACTACAAACACTAACAAACATCCATCCATGTAAAATTTCACATTTATAATATTAGTATGATTTTTCCCAAAAAAAAACTTTAGATATCTTAATGGCCGCCACGTATGTCAGTTTAATTCATGCTTTCAATTGAAACTAACAATATTCTTATTTTAATAATGAGGTTATCTGGTAATGCAAATGAATATGAAAGGAAACATTAATATGCAAATACACACACATATAAAACCATAGACAACCCACCAATTTCCCTGCATCCCCACTTGTCCATAGAGTTAATGTATTACTAGATCCCAATGGTGTACTGGCACCAAATATCTTTGTTATCCACCGATCTTCTTCTAAAACCTTCTTCTTCTCTTCTCTTCTCCATAGAAAGGCAAAGAATGTATGTAGATTTGGCCACCACGCTTTATCAAATGTGAAAACTATTTTGTCCATAACACCTATAGTTAGATTGTCTATAGCCTGAACTTTGTCTATGGGTAGTGAGGGTTTGAAAAGACTTGTATGTCTGAAATATGAAAGTAAACATGCATGAAACGCAACCATGATTTTTCTTTCGATGAAAACTGTTTTTATTTGGATGTTCATTTAAAAATATCAATTCTAAAAAAAAATGGCGCATCAAAAATTTAAAAACTAATAAATTTATAATATTAGTGATGTTAATTTAAATCGATTTTTCTATTTAAACTGTTATCTTTTTACATTAGGTACACAAATGCTTCGTTATTGAAGACATCCACATTTTGATATAAAGAAAAGAATCGAGTAGACAAAATCGATAAAGAACATTGTTGATTTTTATTCATCTTTTAAAACAACAAAATCAACTTTAAAACTAGTCTTATAAACGCTAAATAAAGTGGTTTTCCATTAGCGCTTCAGTAAATTACATTATGATACTTCGAAAATATGTAAAATAGAACTTTCACCCGTGACTCCGTCCGCGTATTATTAAAAAAAAGTAACTAGCCTATGTGTTTGTCCAGTCTATACTTTCATCTATGACCATCGAGATCCGTTCAGCAGTTTAGAAACAAACTTTACAAACATCCATCCATCCATCCAATCATTTATCCAAACTTTCGAATTTATAATAATAGTAAGATTTGTTGATTTTTAATGAAAACTATCTGAATATAAATGAGATTTTACATGCTCATGCTGAATCATATGTTACGTGCAAATTGCATTTTTCTTCTAAAACTATACTAATATTATAAAGAGGAAAGATTTGTATTTTTGTATGTATTGAAACAACTGAAAAAGTACTGGGGCAATTTTTAAAAGATCTTTCACCATTAGAAAGGTAATTTATCTGTAAAAGAATTTTTAACTCAAAAACTACTAGGCTGATCCCAGTAGTTTTTGTATTAGAATAACTCAAAAACTACTGGGCCGATCCCAGTAGTTTTTGAGTTATTTTAATACATTCAAAAATACAAATCCTCTTTATATTATTAGTATAGATTTTATACCCATTATTATTTAATTTCATACAAATTATATCAATAAATAGTAGAATTTCCCATAGATTTACTAAAAATACTGACCAATTTGGCAGCTTCGCCATTGTACCATAGAGTTAAGGTATTACTAGAGCCGTACGGGACAGATGCGAAATATGTCACCCAACCAGCATCTTTAACAGCATTAATTCTTTCTTGTTTTGTTTGATTAAACCAATATACATTGCTATTTGGCCACCATTTATTAGGATATGAAAAAACAATTTTATCAACAACGCCCATAGACAATCTTTGTATAGCTAATGCTTTCTCTTCGGGTAAAGATGGCGCGAAAAGTGTTGTATATCTGAAAATTATCTTTGTTTATGTTGGAATATTTAAATGTTAAATAACATTTGGATAATTGTATATTTTTTACTCCCCCTAATTAGGTATTGCTCGCGACTTTGTCCGCGTGAAATTAAAAAAATAATAAAAAATGTATACCCAATGTCACTTACAGATAAAGTACCTTTTTAACAGTGAAAGATTTTTTTAAATCGCCCCAGTAGTTTTTGAGTTATTTCAATACATACAAAAACAAAAAAAAACTTTTCTCTTTATAATCTTAGTATTCTATTATCTATGTAAAATCTATGGATGTATTTGACAGGTTAGATTTGAACACTATGTACAGATTTCTTTAGGTTTTAAATAAATGCCTTACTCAGTCTTTTCTTATAACAAAATGTGGTTATCTATTAAATAAAAAAAATGTCAAGACATAGTAAAGTAGCGATAACTAACGCGAAAAAAAAAACTAGTAATAAATATAATATATTCCTATATTATCCAAAATAGTTTTCATCCAAAACTCCGTTGGCGTAGAATTAAAAAAAAAAAACAAAAGTAAACAGCCCGTGTGTTTTTCAGACTGCTGCAAAAACACATATATTTCTTACTTTTTTTTGATTCCGCGCAGACGGAGTCGCGGGCCAAAGCTTGAATAATTGTAAGATGTCAGTCAATATATCTTTCTAATGGTGAAAAAATCTTTCAAATCGGTCCAGTATTTTTTGAGGTTATTACATACTGGCGCGACTTTGCCCGCGTAAAATAAAAAAAAATAGCCTATGTCACTCACAGATAAATTACCTTTCTAACGATAAAAGAATTTTTAAAATCGCCCCAGTAGTTTTTGAATTATTTCAATACAAACAAAAATACAAATGTCTTAAATAATATTAGTATAGACAAGGAGAGTATCTTTTTAAAAAAATCCAATTTTTCAACCACACAAAAATAAACAGTTATTTAATTATAAATATTAAACATGTAAATAATAATCTCATATTTACTTACCTTTCTTTTAAAACGCCAATAGATACAGTGATAATAACATTATCTGCTTTGAACACTTCTCCATTACTGCATGTTACTTCTACTGGGGTTAAAGGTTTTTGTGGCCAAACGATTTTAGTCACTTCTGTGTTCAATTTAATGTTCAAATTAGGTAATCCTGGTCCACCTTGATATGTATTCTGGGAAAAAAAAGTAAAAATTTTTTTTTACAATTTTTTTTAAAAAAATTATGTTTTTTTTTTTAAATATGTCCAATATAGCTGTTGCTAGCGGTTTTCGCGCGGAATTACAAATTGCAAAAAACTTATTTATTGGTGAAAGAATTGTTGAAATTCGCGCAGTATTTTTTTTATAATTTTTTTTTCAATACATACAAAAATACAAATCATTACTCTTTATAATGTTAGTGTAGATTTTTTACGATTAACAGGATTTTTTTTTCAAAAGTAAAATTAAATTTTGTACAAACATTCAACAACTAAAAAATCTAGTCAGTTATAAGCCAAAAAAAGTTTTTTAACAGTGCAAAGACGATTTAAGGACCTATAAAATAAACACTAAAATAATAAAGCGTAAACACACTACTTCGTGGCGTAAGATGTCAGGTATCACAACATATTTTTGAATAATTCTTTCTTTAATAAAATCCCTACACTTACGACACGCTTTAGGCTATATATTTTCATAACATTAAGCTTGGGGGTAAATGAAATAAAAAAAACATAAATGTGGGAAAGGGACCATAAACTACAAGCTGCCAACATTAAGGAAGCAAGGTTATTGTGGTAACTGTAATTTCAACATTTTCAATTGAGAATTTGACAAATATAAACAAAATGTTTTTATTATAATTCCATTTGGATAAAGCCAGCGGGAAAAAAATAACTCACCAGTAACAATTCAAAGAAGGTTTTATATCCATTTCTATGCCAGCTCATGTGCTGGTCTCCGGACAGCTCCTGGTAGTGAGTGAAGGTGCTGACGTCATTCCAGCTGTTAGACCCCTCGTAGTTACCCACCACCTGATCCATTAGATCTAGAAAGTTCTCCATAAAGTCTTCATCTTCAAGAACTGACGGTTTTGTTGCATTTAAATGTTCTTTTAACCTGGAATTTGTAAAAAAATCTTTAAAACAGTTAAACTATCTAGATATTCTGTTAGCGAATTAAAAAAAAAATAGGCTATGTATTCTTCTAGCGCGGTGTTTCCCAATGTGGGGTTTACAGCCTACAAATAGTCTAGACTCATTCCATTTATTTATTACTAGCTGTTGCTCGAGACTTCGTTGCGAGACATAAAAATATAGCCTATGTTACTCACAGATAAATTACCTTTCTAATGGTGAAAGAATTTAAAAAAACGACCCAGTAGTTTTTGAGTTAATTCAATACATACAAAAATACAAATCTGTCCTCTTTATAATATTTGTATAAATTATAATTTTTCGATTTTTGTCTGCATTGAAATAACTCAAAAACTACTGGACAATTTCAACACAAAACAATTTCAATTATTGCACAATTAAAGCTATGTTATCACTGACTTAAGGGCACGTTTTTACTAATTTGACGCGAAGTCGCAAGAACAGCTATCTGTACTAATATTATAAAGATAAAAGATTTGTATTTTTAGATTTTTGTATGTGTTGGAATAACTCAAAAACTACTGGGCCAATTTTAAAAATTCTTTCACCGTTCGAAAGGTAATTTATCTGTGAGTAACATAGGGTATACTTTAATTTCACGCGGGCGCAGTCGCGAGTAACAGCTAGTAAAGTATAATTTCATACTTACTTTTTAGTAAGAAAATCTCCCAATGGTTGATTATCATTTGTAGTATTTTCAACTTGTCCCAAACAGTACTCTATTAATTCATTGACCAATTCCTTATCAGCTTGTCTTCCATCCGAAGTATATGCATCCATAGTCAAATCCTGCGATAGTACTGTGATGTTATTTTTTATGGCAGTGTCATAAACTCTGCTCGGATTAATTCCATGAATCCTGTAAATAAATGCAATCTATCTATACTAATATAATAAAGTAAGGTTGTAACGGAACTATGATTCCGCATCGGCAAGAAATTATAACTCCGCATCCGCTTCAGTTATTTCTTATGCGGAGTTATAACAGAGGTTAATTTACGTCTTTATATTTGCATAATAAACTGTATCTTGTAATTATGTACTAATCTGTATTTTGAATTAACGTAGTTTTAGTTTTTATTTCTTTAATAAATCGCAATTAATATTTTATTATTGACCTCCGCTACCGCGTCCGTTAACCTCCGCTTCTGCAGAGCTGAAGCCCTTAGCCTCCGCATCCGTATCCGCTTCCATTAAAATGACCGTTACAACACTATAATAAAGCGTAAACACACTTCAGAGAGTGTCGGTGGCTCAGTGGTTTAAACACTTGACTTGTAATCTAGGTAGGCAATTCCCGTCTTAGCTTTTAAGTATATATATTGTAATTATTGTGCAAAAGTATTAAATAAACTAGTAACATAAAAGTATAGATATAGATTTCTTTAAATACATGGCACATTGTTAATTATAGATTTACCTCCCTTACTGTACAGTTTTGTAAAATTTTTGTATTGTATTTTTTTATAATATAAGGTGGTACACGAGCAAGCGGCCATCTAAATCCACCGAAATGGAATATGTTACCTATCCTTAATAGACGAAGGAGGAAACTCACATAAAGAGGACATTTCCCTTCCAGTGCGTTTCCTCCACCGTCAAATCCACTTTTCCTTCCAATCCATCCCTACTAAGAAAAGGATGGAAAGGGAAAGGGACTAAAATGAGGCCTCTGGCACCACATTCATAAGACTGTACGCGGAATTGCTTCCACTTGACGCCTGTTTTCTGTGTGGTCGTGGTATTACACCGGGCGAGCCGGCCCGGCCGAAGATGTTAAAGCGGGCTCTACCATTGTTAAAAGTTTTCTTATAGTATTGAAACTAAATTAATACATACCATTCTGCACCAAGTTCAACAACACCATCTCCGAATTGCACCGTATTAACTCGACCTCCGATTCTATTCTGTGCTTCAAGAGCGAGCACCCGCCGGCCGGCTCTCGCTAGAGTGGTCGCTGCGGTTGTCCCAGCTGACCCCAGACCAACCACTATTGTATCGTATTGCATTGTCAGTCTGGAAAAGCAAAATTTATAAGTGTAAATTTAAAATTACCAAAAAAATTGAGTATCCCCTTATTTTGAGAAGTTTTTTTATATTACGAGGTGGCAAACGGGCCAGCAGCCACCTGAATCCGCCAAAATGGCGAAGCGACTGCCCATAGACATTCGCAATAGCGGATGCGTTCCCTTAATCGACGGACGACGCACATAAAGATTTTTCCCCCTTCCTATGCGTCTACTCCGTCGTCAAATCCACATTCCCTTCCCAACCTATTCTTATGAGAAAAAGGGTGGGAAGTAAAAGGGACTAAAGTTGGGCCTCCGTCAAACAAAATAAAAGGAATATTAATACTGATATTACCAATTGGATTAGCTTAACTTTGTATATCTTTCTCACTGAAATGTTTAACACTGATCTTTGATTACGTTTTTGCAACATATTACCTGTCCCTTTAATAACCTGTAAAAACCAGTTTTGATTGTATGACAAACTCCTTAAGATCCTCTAAATGTTCTTATGACTTAGAATGACTTGAAACTTGTTTTGGATTAAATTTTTATGCCTTTTTATTTTATTTATTTTATATCCCTTGTATGCCTCAAACTTGTAACAAAGGTATATGACCTCTTTATGTGTAGTGACCATTTTATATTTATATTTACATATTTCCATGCAACTCAATAATCAGTCTTGTTTTTTAAGTCAAGTTTCCGACACTACTTACATTTAGTTAATATTTTAAACTCTTGTATGCTTGCAATTTTTTATAAATGTTATGTTTAGTATTAGTTAATTACCTTAAATAAGTGAATTGTAAACTTTTATTAAGGTAAATAAATATTCTTAAACCTTATACTAATACATTATTCAAATTAATGTATTAACTTATCTCAACTTACTATGTATGGATGTTTGTTAGAGTTTGTAGCCTAAATGGCTGAATGGATCGTGATGAAATTTGGTATAAATGTAGAGGATAGTCAATTTTGTTTATTTTTAATTATATGCAGATGGAGTCGCCGGCAAAAGCTAGTTCTTTATATAATAAACCAGTAACTCGCCCCAGCTCTGCACAAGCACAAGTATTACAAAAACATGTTTATCTACATATTAGAAACCTCTAAAATCGTCAGGATCTTTTTCTCGTCTCATGAGATCTCATGACTTAAGCAATCAGCAGTCAGTGCTGCAGAGAAAGAAATCTCACTATGCATGCAGTTTCTAAAATGCATTTTGATCACTTAATCCCTTATATTAGATATACCCATTGTTTATTATCTTATGACCTTCATTAACAAAGGATTCTGTACACAGATAATACACATAAACTAAGTATTGTAGATGTTATCTGACTTCAATAAAACAGATGTTAGTAAATCTATATTTATATTATTTCTTTAATTAATGCTTTAAAAATGAATAGTTCTTATAAGTTAGATTATAAACGCATGTCATTGTTTAACCTTTTGAGATTGTTGTAAACATGTTTATAGATACTTCGATATAAATAATAAGATTAGGTTATGTTTAGTTTCAAAAACGAACAATGATAACAGTACCTTGTATCTAATGTTTGATAACCCAGAAGCCCTTTCGTCTATTAAATAGTTATATAATGGTTATCATTAATGGAGAACCGGGTTTAGAAGACTCGATTATCTTATTTATCTTTCATCTCTTTGACTTTGACATTTTGACTTTTGACACAACTATGACATGACCATAGATAAAGTTGTCGTTTTTGATGATGAAATACCGCGGTAGAAACACTTTCGGTTAAAAAAATCTTAAATAAATTATTGAAACTTAAAAAACTCTTATAATTAAAAACGTAAAAGTAATTTAATGTTTTAATATATTAGTTTTATTTTATTACATATTAAACTAACATTATTTTTTGATACAGACTTCGTAAATAATTATTTAAGACTAATTTTGTTTGAAATAAAACATAAGTAAATAATTCTCAAAAACAATTTATCGATTTACAAGTCCACTCAAAACCACACATTAAAAGATCTCTTATTACTTAACAAAATCACAGTAATTTTATAAAAAAAAGTATTGATATAATTTAAAAATAAACAATTACAAAATAAATAGTCAATAGCTAGAGAAAATACTCACTCATCAGCCCTGACTAAGGCAATATAAAACAGTAGAGCCGCAAATACGCGTCCCGCCATTATTATGCCGGACATTGACTAAACCATAACGTTACTCTCTCATTTATATCAACCTTGTCGATAAGACTAGTTAAATACTGTAGCTTGTGTCTTAAATGTACATTTTTTTTAAACCTTAATTTGTTATACTATCTATTACTTTTAAAATCAAATCCTTCAATGCAAATCTCTACTGACAATGTATTTATTTTTGAGTTTAAACCTAGGTTTTCTATCTTTAAAAAGCGTACAAGTCGTACAAACTGACAGCAAAGACATTTTTTTATATTGCTTTGTCATGGTCATTTCACTTAATAAATACAGTGTACTATAAACAACTGTGGACATTATCTAATAACGGGAGAGTAATCATTTTATAACAAGGCTATTTATTTGTTGGTTTCTACAACTTCCGCGGGTACACAGGAGCAGGCAAAGACAAGTTTGAAGTGTACAGTTCGACTGTTCAGTTAATATTAGATGTGTTGTGACCATTTGTAGTGTCTTGGCACATTTTTTTTTTTAATATTTAATCTTGATTTAACTAACCGTGTTTCAAAAAATGTTACTTGCCAAACATTTCAGAAATATAAATTTTAACATCATAAACTCCTGAAAAACTTTTAATTATCTATGGTTTAGCTATTCCTGCTTTTTTAAAATAAAAGGGGGCAAACGACGCCCATGGACATCCGCAACACCAGAGTATTTTGTATAAATTAGTTAAAGTATTTATTAATTTATGTTTAAAAAGATAGAAGAAATTACCACTAAAATTTGTCCATAATGTTTTTTCTCTACAAAATCGGGATGCGTTCCTTCGCAATAAAAAAAATATATCACAATTATTTTATTATACACAAATTGTCTCTAATAACAATAAAATGATTATAACAAGTATATACAAATTCATACATTATAATAAACTATAATTACATTAGAGTTGAATTATACAAAAAAAGCAACATTAACTTGAAAACAGTGAAACAGTTCTATAGATTATTTGTCTATGGTTGGTACATTAAAAAGTTCATATATTTTCATCTGAACACATCAAGTTTATAGTACATAATAAAGATATTGAGATCATCTTCATATGGAATAAGAAAATATTTAGCAATGTGCCCTACATATGTACAATCAGGGAATCTAACAGTGTTCCATTTTTAAAACAAGTTGTTTAAGAGTTTTGTACCCTTTGTGGTGAACAATAACCAATAAGAAGCATTAAAATGTATCTTTCCTAAAAACAGTATACAACTAACTTTTTATTTTTACTTGAAAGAAACAGATGGTTATTCTGAAATTGGAACACCGCAAAGGGCACTGATTGTACACTGCACGTTTTTCGTTACCTGAATAAAGGTAATCCAACATAATTTTGGTATTAAAATTGACACAGCAAACTGTATAGTCATACAAGGATTATGACAGTTGGCTATTTTGTGAAATAATTTCACTTGAAAGCGTCATATTTTGACCAATGCGAAAGTGACCATTGCATAATTTAGAAAAAAAAAGCAAATGTTTTTGTTTTATTATCGACTTGGGAGACTTTAGAATGTTAGGAATAGCCCCCTTATCAATGTCAAACTGCCATAAGTTCCTTATATGTCTATAAAGTTCATTCAACCGTCAGTTGGGGGTTGCCAAGTGACGGCGCGCATTTTCCTATTAATCTCCTGTAATATTAGATTACATCTAGCAAGTTGTGCCGGTTTCAACTGGGGAGTCGGATCACGTCCGCGCTCACCGACAGCGGGGGAGCGATTGGCGCGCTTCAACGCACGTCTACGGCGAGCCCTGGCTGTCGCTGGGAAACATATTGTATCATTCATTAACTGGCATGGCACCTTATTGGAATAATTTGATTAACACAGAGTCCCTTCAACCAATACCTAGACTCGCTACTGTCACAGTCAACGGCTAACGCAGGGGGGGGGTCATGATCTCCTCTGAGCTGATTGGTCAAGTGAAGAGCTTGGCAAAATATGTAAATATATTTTTTCAAGCTCTTGTCTTGACCATGACTATGTGACCCACCCCTGGCGACAAAGCTGGATCCGCTCTTTGTCACAGTTCTGGCATATTAACTGAGCATTATGGTTCACAGAGGATAGTAGCACATGTGGTCCTTTGATTGTATGGACTCCACACAAGTTTACATTATGCCAGTACAGTTAATAACTACTCTCCAACTGTACTGGTGTACACAGGCATTGACTTGGCACTTGACTTGTAATCTGTAAGTCGTGGGTTTGAATCCCTATTATACTAGTTTCATACATTTACCAGAGGTTCTTACTGTGAAGGAAGACATAGAATTGTCTGCACATATATGTGCAAAAAATCAAAGATATATGTGAAGTTAACCATAGTTATCTTTGGCCTAGAAACCCTTCAACAAAAGGTATATGCAAAGTTCCTCAGTGGGGAGGAATAATGTAAAAGTTGTTGTTTGTCTATGGTTAAGAATGTTTATTAGAATCTGTTCTGGTACAAATTGCAAAACACTTACCGGTTTCTCCCTTTTCTTTCTTGAAATCACTTTCAATAGTTGTTGATAGTGATCTTTTCTTTGGGGACTGCTGGAAAAAGATATGTTTTTAATTAATAAACAAAAATAGGTAAGTAAAATTTAATCGAAATAAGAAATTATCACAAATCTTTTTTTTTTATATAACATAAGGTGGCAAACGAGCATGCGGCCACCAAAATCCACCAAAATGGCGAAGCAATCGCTGCCCATAGACAACCGCAATTGCAGATGCGTTTCTTACACTTATCCGACAGAGGAGGACACGCACATAAAGAGGATATTTCCCCTTCCTATGCATCTACCCCACTGTCAAATCCACTTCCTCTTCCCATCCTCTCCTTATAAAAAAGGGTGGTAAAGAGAAAGGGACTAAAATTTGGCATCTGGCACCACATTCATCAGACGAAACACGGAATTGCTTCCATTTCACGCCTGTCTTGTGTGTGGTTGTGAAATTACACCGGGCGTGCCGACCCTGCAGTGCTAAGATGTTAAAGCGGGCACTACCACTGTCTTAACAAAACTAACTTAAACAATTTTACCTTAACAACTCTTTCCTAGACTTATTACACATGTTTTTATCAATTTCAACACTGAAACTTTACAAATTAACTTACAAAATATTATAAAGAGGAAATGTTTGTGTTTTTGAATTTTCACATGTATTGAAATAACTCAAAAACTACTGGACCAATTTCAAATTCTACAATTCAAATTCTTTCTCTATTAAAAAGCTATGTTATCAAACACATCTGTCTAAACAGTGGTTCTTATTTTGTCCAATACTGATGACCACTGCTTGTTAATCATCTTATTTTATAAAAATGTCTTACTCTCTTTTTCTCCTTTTGGTAATGCTGTGAATCGTAGAACTGCGGCTGTGAACGTCTCACTCTCCCTGTCCTACGTCTGATATCCTCCGCGGCTGGTAGGGTGTCTGCACCTCGTCGGGCTGCGAAGAAAGTGTGTCCGCACTTACAGGACTTTGATGCTACTGCCACCTGGAAGACATTTGACTTATAGTAGCTCAGTAAAACTGAAATTGACGAACACAGCTTGCATACTCAATTTGTGCATGTTACGTATAAATTGCGTGAGCAGCCAGTCACAATATCGATAAATAGGCAGCATCAGTGCTTCTGAATGTTTAAAAAATACTGGCTGAAATTTAATATTTGCTATACAAATGAAAATATTACTAATTTACCTGTAACTCGCATTTTGGACAACTTTTCGCTATCATTTTGTTTTTACCCATTTTGTACATTTAGCATGAACAGCGTCACTAATTGATTAAATAGTAAATATTCTATAGACAGACCTAACAGCAGCTATTAAAACTTAAAAGAATATGTTTAAATATAAATATATACAAAAATAATTAATTTTACTTCATCCTGGCCTGTCAATGTCAAATTAAGTAAAAAAAAAAAGAAGGTAGAAAGAGTAAAGAGTATAAAATGCAGACTAAATAAGAACAACCTTGGCATGTGCGTAGTTTGGAGCGTAGGTTTAAATTAATTTAAAACTGATTAAGTACGAATAGATGAGATTATGCAAAGATTTCTATTTTGCGCATAAATTACGCTGGGCGGTGTTATTTATTTCAGATAAATTCCAAGGCTCTTTTTTGTGAAACATAAAAACTCATAAAAATCAATAACGAACAGTTGACATGTTAAGGGTGTATTACTATAATAAAAAAGACTAATGGACTAATTATTTCGATATCAATTCTTGTTATTAAATTACATTTTAATTTATTGGTAACGAAAATTGAAAACAGTCGAAAAGCCAATCACCATTAGTTTATTTCTCTTATCGTTTATGTAAACTGTAAACGTTATCGGAATTGAGAAAAAAACGTCAAATAAAAATGTCATAAATCAAAAACATAAACATGTTTTTTGAGAGTAACTAGAATCGATTTTGCGAAAGTAAAGTGAACTTTAAGTATTATTTAAAGCTTGAATATCATTGAAAAAATCTAAACATGTTTTGATGTTATTTTTGTTTAATTATACAATTCCGGTTGTATATAGACTATATGACGAAATAATGGGTAGAAAAACCCATTATTTCGTCTGTTGTTTCTGATCAACATATTTAAATAATATAGACATGACTTCTCAAGAAGTAGACGAGGAACACACGCAGCCTATTATAAAACAAGAAGATGAAGAAATGTCAGAAAAATCGATGCAAGACATGAAGCCGCCTTTGCTCACCAAAGTTCCGAAAAGGTTTAATACTTTTTTAAAATTACTTTTTTAAATTCAAAAACATTTCGACCAAAGATTAAAATGTTTCTTGAACTTATATATTTTAGTTTGCAGTTATTATTTCAACCTCATAATGATAAAAGCTACTTTAAAATTTCAAATATGCCGTATCTGCCACTTGTAATAATAAAATTCCTTTCTTTGTTCCAGCAGTAAAGCATTAAGAAAAAGAAATAAAAAAAACAACCCTCTCACATGTAAAATCTGTAAGAAAACATTCAAAACCAACCAACCACTGCGATATCACATCAGGCAAATGTATTTCAATCTAAAAGCGAAAACATTGATATACGAAATGAAGAAAGTCAAACAAGTATGGGTAGAGAAAGTATTAAACTCCAATGAACTATTAGAAATAACTAAAGTAGGTCCAAATGTATTGAGAATGAAGAAAACTGAACCAAATGCTGTTATCGAACCTGATAATGTTAAAGAGATTGATTTGTCATATTTGTATGTGACATATCAAAGATATAAATGTAAAAATTGTCCAGTCTGCGATGATAAAGTACCAAAAATTAAATATACAGAACATCTTGCATCACATGAGACATCTTAACACCTTAAGCGCCATCTAAATTTTTTTGTCACACAGTCTAGAAAACTGTATGTAGACTGGGAGGTATGAATTTCAAATGAACTAGTTCTCAAGCCACATGTATCTAAATATCACACATATAAAAATCCAAGGCCAAATGGGGGTGAAAATCAGTATATGATATATTCATCATCATCTCCTTATCCTACTCCCGTAGGGTGGCGCAACAGGTTTTTGTCCTCCACATAACTCTATCATACGTCATCTCAGTCATCACTCCCTTTTTGATCATGTCACCTTTTACACAATCCATCCATCTTTTTCTAAGTCTGTCTCTACCGATGTACCCTTCCACACTCATAACTAACATTCTCCTTGTAACATGCGATTCATCCCTCCTCATAACATGCCCATACCATGCTAACCTTTTACTCCTTACCTTCTCTACGGAGGCTTCTCTCAAACTTCCTTTAATATACTCATTTTGTATCTTATCCATTCGTGTTACAAATCCATCTTAACATTTGCATTGCTGTCACATGTAATTTCCTTTCATCCTTTCCTATTATGTAGTTTTAAACACATTCCAACAAAAATGTTGTGTTTTTTAAACACTTAGTCTGGCGCTGAAGGTGTTAAGTGGTCTGCAAAATAGCCAGAGCCTATGAACATCATCTTCCTCCTTATCCTACTCTGTAGTGGTGCAACAGGATTGTCCTCTACATAACTCTGTCATACATCTGTCACTCCCTTCTTGATTACGTCACTTTTCACACCATCTATCTCTTTCTATGTCTACCTCTACTGGTTTACCCTTCTATACGTGACATTAAAATAAGGTAACCAAATTAGCTAGTTTACTTAACTGTAACCTGAATGGTGAAGATTTCGATGAAATTAGCTATAGATGTAGAGGATAGTCTGGAAGAGCACATAGGCTACTCACTTTTGATTTTTTAATTTCCCGTGGTCTAAGTTGCAGGCGAAAGCATTATTTAGTAAAATAAAAGTAGATTTTATTTTTAAATATCTATTAATGTGAATATGCTTGCATCTACTTGGAAAGAGTAAGAGCAACTAAGGAGTAAACATGCGGTTATGAAACCCAACTGTGTTGACCACTGTCTTAAGCTAATCTCAAAATTATGGTTCACATTTAGCCAGTACAGTGCTTAACTGGACTAGTATTCAACTGGTATAATGTGAACACAGATTTTTATGGTGTGGGTCTGTGGTTTGCGCCACTCACTCTACACAATTGGCTATTTATTTAAGCACAGTTTGTGTATGTTTGGTATCAACTTATCTAAAATGAAGAGTGTTTGACCCAATGACCATGGCTTTGCTATGGTAGTTGGGACAATTTGTCTTCTGATCAATGTAATTTTTCTGTTATTGCAACATTGCTGTTCCCTATGACTGTACATATAAATTATAATAAAATAGTTTGCTGCAAAGCTGTATTGAACCAATCTGTACATCCAGGTTCAATATCTATGTACCAATTTTTTTTTTTTTATTTAATTGTATGTTTATAAGATGTTCTTAAGATGAAAAAACATTGTGATGTGCATGCTGTAAAGAAATTCAAAGATATGTGTGAAGTAGGGCCCTTAGTTGAGATGTACAGTGAGTTGATGGAAGATTTTGTCATAATTTTCTTTGAGACCTCTACTTTTATAGCTGTGGAACCCCACAGAGATATATCATACTAATATTATTAATGCGAAAGTTTGGATGGATGTTTGTTAGAGTTTGTAGTCTAAACGGCTGAACGGATTTCAATGAAATTTGGTATAGATGTAGCGGATATTCTAGAAGAATACATAGGCTACTCATTTGTTTTTTTTTTTACTTCCCCGCGGACGGAGTCGAGGGCGAAAGCTTGTTATTATTTAGATAATAGGGTTTTGTTTTGTCTGATGTCTTGACTTTACTGTAAATATTCCTGGCAATTTAAAAAGGTTTTAAGTGTTCCTAAATGTACTAGAAATTTAATAGCATAGTCATAATAGTAATGTTTAAAAAATAAAATGATATTGTACCTCTGTATATATTTTAGTATTTTTTAAATGTATTGATTTAAATTTTATATTGAAATTTGTTAAATATTTTTAATTATGCCGTGAATAAAAATTGCTTGCCGCCTAATTGTGGTTTGTATTTGACTAATTGTGGTGTTTTACTGTTATTTATTTCGTTTTATATCATGGACTGAAATACAAATTGATTTAAGTTTTGTTTTTTTTTTCATATGACAGTTATCCCAAACATCCAATTCCTTTAATTTTGTTTATTTTTTTTTTTTTGGAAGTTTGAGAGTAGCCCCAGTCCCCAATAGTAAAGAAGATGAGTAAAAGGTTAGCATGGTATGGGCATATTATGAGGAGGGATGAATCGCTTGTTACAAGGAGAACGTTACACGTAGAAAGACGTGGATGTATTGCGTTAAAGGTGACAATCAAAAAGGGAGTGATGACTGAGATGACGTATGATAGAGTTATGTGGAGGACAAAAACCTGTTGCGCCGACCCTAAGGAAGTAGGATAAGGAGAAAGATGATCCAATTCCTTTAATGTAAAATAATATTCTTCAACAAATATACCATGCATAAAGAGGATATGCTTAAGAACATAGTGGATAAAGATATGATGGCTGATAGAGATGTATGGAAGAGCAGCACATAATATGCCGACCCTCTGTAAGGGATAAGGGCAAGTTGATGATGATGACATATACCATGGTAAGTCAATATTTCTATTTAATTTATATTTAACAGTTATTTTGTGAAGGTTTTTTTTATATATTTGTTAAGTTAGCGCTTGACCACGATCCCACGTGATGAAAGTAATGCACTGAAGAAAAGATGAACGCGCTAGCTTAATAGGTACCTGTTTTTCTTTTTTTTTAGGTTAATAAATATACGAGGGTGAATCAAAAAATTCTTGGAATCAATATTAAAAATGCAAAGATTTAAATAATAATATTTTATTTTTCTATATAATCTCCCTCCAATGCAATGCATTTAGAATAACGCGGTTCTAACTTCCTTATTCCTTGTGAAAAAAAAAATATTTTCTTGGCTCTCGAAAGAGTCCTCTACGGCAGCTATAACCGCGTCATTATCGTGAAATTTTGTTCCACGAATTTCCTCTTTTAATTTTGGAAATAAGTGAAAATCACTTGGGGCTAAGTCCGGAGAATATGGTGGGTGGTCAAGGAGATTGAAGCCAGCACAGCGGATTGCGTTGAGCGCAACTTCCGATCGATGAGCAGGAGCGTTATCTTGAAGGAACAACACGCCCAACGACAGTTTTCCACGACGTTTTTCTTTAATCGCTTCACGCACTTTCGGGATTAAATTTGCATAATAGGGTCCAGTAATCGTCTGGCCTTTTGGCATGTAATCAATAAAAAGGATTCCTTCACTATCCCAGAACACAGAGGCCATAACTATGCCAGCGGTAGGAGCAACTCGAAATTTCTTGATGGATGGAGAGGATGCCCGTTTCCAAGACATGCTTTGTCTTTTAGTTTCAGGATCAAAATGGTGGACCCACGTTTCATCCATGGTGACAAGACGACGGCAAAAATTATCCGAATCACGCTGGAACATTTCGAGATTACGCTTGGAAATTTCCAAACGTCGCTTTTTGTTTTCGTCGGTTAACATTCGTGGCACCCATCTTGCAGACACTTTTTTGAACCCCAGTGAATCAATTAAAATGGATTGAATGCTACCAAAAGATATCTTTAGGATCTCAGCTATATGTTTTATAGTCATTCTTCTGTCTTCCAAAACCAGATTCTCAACCTTTTTGACATTTTCTTCTGTAACGGAGGTTGAAGGCCGCCTAGAACGCGGGTCATCTTTACAGCTTGATCTACCTCTTTTAAATTCAGCCACCCAGTACGCAACTGTAGAATAGGGTACAGCATCACCCCCTAATGTCTGCTGAATATCCAAAAAAAATTTCTTTTAATATTTTCGCTAATAACATATTTTAATATTTTCGCTAATAACATATTGAGGGTTTGACCCTGCTTAAATTTTGATGTGAAGTAATATATAACCCTCGTTATATTATATTCATGTATTGTGTTTTCACAAATCTGAAGTACTAAAGGTACTAAAAGTGTGTACTAGTACGTTTTCCCAATTGTACTAGTACGGTGCGCACTTGCAGATGTCCGATTAAGCCCAAGACTTACATACAGAAAGACAGACAAGACATACTTACATACAGAAAGACGGCTTTTTATATTTAAGTACCAAATGTTTTATAAAAATTCCACTGAACTGGCATAAAGACTTTATCTTTTGCCTATTGAAAAAAGCCAGAAAACGAAATGTCAAAGTTTTTAATATCTGTCAAAACTGATTTTGTTTACAAATTGAGGATGATTTTGTAGTAGTTTGTTTAATGAAAAAGACTTAAATTATGACTTACACATTATGCCAAATTTGCTTAAAAGGCAGGGATAAGGTATTACCTTTGTCGGGAAAAAATATTGAAATATACAATCGAATTTTAAAAGAGGTATTGTATGAATTCATTCGAATATATACTCTTGATTTTCATTTTAATTTCAGCACGTTTTAACCTTTATTTTACAATTAAACACCTAAAATTATACAAATTAAGTATAAAATACATAAATTCACGTATCAAGTAAATATTAAACCCATTTTATAAATTCATGTATCAAGGAATTACTTAACCCTTTTTCTATAACGTTTTTACTTTTTTTTAGCCTTTAAATGAATCGGGAATGTTGATGTGTATTTTTTGTACGAGTCTCTTGCGTAAGTTGGACAAGTTTGTGGAACAATGTCGCATTGCGCAGATGAAAATGGATCAAGTAGTAAAAAAGGTACGCTTTGATGTTACATACTTTCAACATCTACATTAAATAACCACAGACTATAGTCTTACTTATGTAATTTTAAGAATAAATATTATTGGAAACTTCTTTATAGTCACATTTAGTAGAATTGAGATATCATATACATGTCAGCTGACATTATTTACTAATATTTTGTAGTTTCACTGTTTAAATTAATACATACAAGTTTGTCTGTAGTAAGGGTGTGGCGACACATTCGCAACTGTCAGATTGGTTAGCATGGTTTTCTTGCTCTTTGACGAATGTGCTGGACTGTAATGTGTATTGTACCTTTATAATATAATAAATATATGTGCACTACAAGAATTCATACCGATGTCCCACAAGTCTTCTTTTTCTTTAGCTCTACAGCCCTTTGTGGGCCTTGGCTTGGTCAAGCAATTTGTACCACTTGTATTAGTGGCTACCGATTTCAAATTTCTTATGGCAACATTCTTTGCGTCACGATTTACACCGTCTACATCTCAACTTTGGTCTTATATTATAGTAAGTCTATGATAGAGTTATAAAGGTTTACACAGACAGACAGTTTTGGTATAATTTCTCATTTCTATTCAATTCAACCAATGCTAAATTATTCACATTACAAAAATAAACTTTACTTGTATTATAAATGCAAAGGTTTAGATGTACGTTTGTTAGAGTTGCCTAAACTGCTGAACAGATCTCATTAAATTGGTATAGATGTAGAGAATATCCTGGAAGGACACAGGCATACCTTTGATTTCTTATAGTTACCTAATTTAAAACTAATTACATTAGAACCTTGATAACTCAAACCTTGGTAACATAAAAACCTCTATAACTTAAAAAAAAATATGTTCCCTTCCCATCAGAGCCCAAAACCTCTATCACATAGACCCTTGATAACTTAAAACCTCTATTACTTTAAAAATTTTGTGTTTCCCTTGGACTTTAACTTATCAATGTGCTATATTTGATAAAACTTGTATTTCAGGATACTCTTAATGTAATAAACAACATTGGGATATCACCAACAAGGATAGATTACATTGGTCCGGAGATGCATTTAGATGGAGAAATAAAACCGGAGGTGAACGATTTTGTTTATACAACTGATGAAGATGATGTACCATTGGTATTGTTTTGTGAAAGCAGTATGGAGGCTACGGAATACGATAATGGAATTGTTAACACAAATGTTAGTATGCCAATTAGATTACCATAGCATATATGTATCTATACTTCTATACTATAATCTATATATCTTACTAATGTTATAAATGCGAAAGTTTAGATGGATGGATGTTTGTTAGCGTTTGTACCCTAAACGGCTGAACGGATCTCCATGAAATTTGGCACAGGTTTAGAGCATAGTCTGGAAGAACACATAGGGTACTTTTTATCCCGGGAATAGTTACGGTTCCCGTGGGATTCATTAATTTAGTTTTTAATGTTTACTCAATCATTCTGCAACGGTTCAACATATCTTATTGAAATTTGGCACAGATATAAAGCAAAGTCTGGAGTACACATGGGATAAGGTTTATCCCCGAGAAATGTCCGGTTCCCGAGGGATATGTAGCTTTTTGTTATTTATATAGTTCGTATGTTTTCTAATACCACGCGGACGATGTAGCGGGCAACAGCTAGTATTAAAATAAAGCGTAAACACACACTTCTTTGTTGCCTATGATGTCAGCAAGTACAGCATATTTTTAAATATTTTTTTTTAAATTAAAAGCTCTACACTTACGTCACGCTTTAGGCTATATATTTTCACGCCATTAAACTTAGGGGGTAAATATTGTGGATAAAAACCCTAATGTGGGAAAGAGACAATATTTTGCTGCCAACATCAAGAAAGCAAGGTTGCTAAGGTTTGTCATGTCATGTCATTTTGACATTTGCTATTGATAATTTGACAAATGTAAACAATAAAATAGAATTTTTCATAAATTCATGGAGATGAAGCCGCACGGGAACAGATAGTTAATAATAATACAGTATTAATAAATGATTAATATTAATCTATTTTTAATAGAAATTGTGTTGTTGGAAACTCCAATCAATTTAATAGAATTAACTATCAGTAACATTAACAATTGGTGGCTCAGGGGTTTAAGGACTTATTTGTAACCTACAGGTCTTAGTTTCGAATCCCGCAAAACCAATTTCATATCTTTAAGAAGAAAATCAACACTGGAAGAGAATTGGCGCAACACTAGATCATTGAAATATACGTCCCATCCCTATCTGACAGCTGTCAATGTCATTCATACTTAGAATAGCGCGCCATACTGGTGGTAGTTAGTGGTTTGAGTGTCTAAGTTACCTTATAAGTATTAAGAAGAAGAAGAATATCTTTATTGCTCACTAATGTTAATTACATAAATCAGTGTTGCCTTGACTACTAAACTAGGATTCCTGTTTTAAGTAGCCAAGGACTTCCATTACAAAGTGATATATTTTTGGTAAGAAACAAAAAGGACATTAACTATCATTTATTAATTTTAGCATTAGTAACTTTGTGTTAACTTATTACAGATTATAGACGATGAAAAATCAAATACAAAACTAGATACAAGCAATCCAAGAAAAAATTGTCGTAAAGTTACACAAAAGAAAGTATTAAAAGAGGGTTTCAGTTCAAGAATGGTTCAAGAAACTTCAGAATACACGGTCATTAAATTGACAAAAGAACAGGTAAGCTATTACATTTTTTATAATATAAGGTGACAAACGAGCAAGCGGCCTGAATCCACCGAAATGGAAAGCGACCGCTGCACATAAACATCCGCTATTGCAGCGCTGCCTACCCTTTATTGACGGAGGAGACGCACATAGAGAGGAAATAGTGTTTTACTTTTAACAGTGGTAGTGCCCGCTTTAACATCTTAGCACTGCAGGACTCGCCCCCAATACCACGACCACACAAGACAGGCGTGAAATGGAAGCAATTCCGTGTTTCGTCTGATGAGTGTGGCGCCGGAGGCCTAATTTAAGTCCCTTTCTCTTTACCACCCTTTTCTTATAAGGAGAGGTTGGGAAGAGGGAGTGGATTTGACGGTGGAGGAGATGCATAGGAAGGGGAAATATCCTTTTTATGTGCGTCTCCCCCTCCGTCGTATAAGGGTAGACAACGCATCTGCAATTGCGGATGTCTATGGGCAGCGGTCGCTTCGCCATTTTGGCGGTTTCAGGTGGCCGCTTGCTCGTTTGCCACATTATGTTAAAAAAAAAATTCACCTTCCTATGCGTCTCCTCCACCGTCAAATCCACTTTTCTTTCCCATCCTTTCCTTTGAAGAAAAGGATGGAAAGGGAAAGGGACTAAATTTAGGCCTCCGGCACCACACTCATCAGAGTGTACGCGGAATTGCTTTCACTTGACGCCTGTCTTGTGTGGTCGTGGTATTGCACCGGGCGAGCCGGCCCATTCGTGCGAAGATGTTAAAGCGGGCTCTACCACTGTACATACTAGCCTTTTTCTCGTGACTTTACACTGTTCGCGTATGATAAATATTTCTTACTACCTTTTGCCCGCGACTCCGTCAGCGTTAAATTAAAAAAAAGCTTAAGTGAGTAGCCTATGTGTTCTTCCAGACTATCTACATCTGTACCAAATTTCATCAAGATCCGTTTAGCCGTTTAGGCTACAAACTCTAACATCCATCCATCTAAACTTTCGCATTTATATTGGTATATCAGTCAGTATAAATGAAGTTTTAAAGGTTTGAAAGAATTCTTAAAATCGCTCCAGTAGTTTTTCAGAGAAAAAAAATATTTATTCAACTTTGCTGAAGTAATTTTTTTTTTTAATTCAGGTTTTAGAAGAGATGAAGGAACGTTCAAAAAGCGATAAATATTTACGTGCTCCGTATAAATGCGAAAGTTGTGTTAAAGGTTTCAACTTTGAGGATGTCTTACAAAGTCATATGGAGAAACATTTACAGGTGAGTTTGCAAAATATATTGCAAATATAATATTAATGATATAAAACGATATACCAATTTGAGTAACAGAAGTGAGGGTAGTTGCATTGACAGAAGTGAGGGTAGTTGCATTAACAGAAGTGAGGGTAGTTGCATTAACAGAAGTGAAGGTAGTTGCATTAACAAAAGTGAGGAAGGTTGCATTAACAGTAGTGAGGGTATTGGATTAACAGAAGTGAGGGTAGTTGCATTAACAGAAGTGAGGGTAGTTGCATTAAAAGAAGTGAGGGTAGTTGCATTAACATAAGTGAGGGTAGTTGCATTAACAGAAGTGGGGGTACTTGCATTTTTTAGTCTCTGTTATAGACAGTAACTTATGCCTCGTTCGCACTAAGCTAGTCTAGTCGAGTACCGAGGAATTTAGTAAGTAAATACTCTCGTCTATGATCTATTCTACTTAAATTTCTAAATACTAGTAACTTAGTATTTACTAGTCTAGTGTGGAGGCATAAGTGTACATTTCGTTACATTTTATTCTTGTTGTTTTTTTTTATTATTATGGTTCTGATTACATTAATTACAGAAACAAGGTGAGTACAAGTGCGAACTTTGCTCTCAGTACTGTGGGAGCGCAGTCTCCCTGCGAGGTCACATGAAGTCTCACACCACCAGATACAGATGCAAGATATGTGGATACATCCGTCTCTCTCGCCAGCACGTGTTGGAGCACCATACTATCGTGCACACGCACGCCGCCGCCGCGTACAGCTGCGGCCGGTGTGTCTTCACCACAGAGTGAGTTCTATCCCTCTCACACCTATAGATACACGGATACATCTGTCTCTTTCACGGCAGAACGTAACACATAAAATACGGCCGGTGTGTCTTCACCGTATAGTCTTGTATCGTTCTCGCACCTATATATACGCGGATACGTCTGTCTCTTTCTCACGGCAGAATGTAATAGCACATTACAAAATGTGGTCATTGTCTTAACTACCGAGTGAGTCTAGTGTCCCTCTCACACCTAAAGATATGCGGATACATCCGTCACTCTCCCGCCAGTAAGTAGCACATAAAATGCGGAAGGCGTGTTTTCACTACAGAGTGAGTTTTGTGTCCCTCTCGCTCTAATAGATACGCGGCTATGTCTATCTCTCTCGACAGAACTTATTAGAACATCATACAAAGCGATTTGAGCGTCTACGGGGTCTTGTATCCCTTTCGCACTAGCATTTATACGGATATATCAATCTCTGTCTCGAGCACGTACTCAATTACTCTAATCTCTCTCTTACAACGCAATATTGAATAGTGGTAGAGCCCGCTTTAACATCTTCGCACTGCAGGGCCGGCTCGCCCGATGTAATACCACGACCACACAGAAGAGAGGCGTGAAGTGGAAGCAATTCCGCGTTTCGTCTGATAAATGTGGCGCCGGAGGCCTAAATTTAGTCCCTTTTTCTTTCCACCCTTTTCTTCAGAGAAAAGGATGGGAAAGAAAAGTGGATTTGACGGTGGAGGAGACGCATGGGAAGGGGAAATGTTCTCTCTATGTGCGTCTCCTCCGTCAATGAAGGCAGCGCTGCAATTGCGGATGTTTATGGGCAGCGGTCGCTTTCCATTTCGGTGGATTCATGTGGTGTCATGTGCTCGTTTGCCACCGTGTATTATAAAAAAAAACAGCTAAGTCCATCTCTTTCTTCCGTTTTCCAGTAAACGTACAGTGATGCAAAGACACGTGCATGTACACGACAGCACGGCGACACACGAGTGTCATAAATGTGGGAAACTGTATAAAAGTTTGGAATCCCTGCGTGTACATACTATGTGAGTATGTAATAAACAGAAATATATTGACATCCCTTTCTTTCTAGTTGAAAAGAACAGTGATAACGATGTTTTTAAAGGACACTCAAATATACAGAATAGCGAGTGTTAAACTCAAACTAGAGATATATACAAGACTAGCTTTCGCCTATGACTCCTTTCACGAATTTTCAAAAAAAAAACGATATATGTGCTCTTCTAGACTATTCTATACATCTATGCCTAAGTTCATTGCGATTCGTTCAGCATATTAAGTGGCAACCCTAACAAACATTTCATCTAAAATTTACTACAGTAAAAGCATTTTTTTACATATTTTTTATGGAGTGTAAATTTTCCTAAGGTCTAAATACTTCGCTAATAAGAATTAATAAACTATATGTAATAACTATCTTTCGCTCGCGACTCCGTCCGCATGGTATTAAAAAAAATAAAACCAAGTATGTGTTTTTCCAGACTATCCTCTACATCTATGTCAAATTTCATCGAGATCCATTCAGCCGATTAAGCTACGAACTCTAACATCCATCCATCTTAACTTTCACATTTATAATATGACTGTTTCCGTGCGACTTCATCCGCATGAAATTATGAAAATTTTACTTTATTGTTTACATTTGTCAAATTATCAATAGCAAATGTCAAAATGACAACGTGACAATCTTGCTTCCATGAGGTTGGCAGCAACTAATGGTCTCTTTCCCACATTAGGGTTTTTCACCAAAATATTTACCCCCAAAGTTTAATGGCGTGAAAATATATAGCCTAAAGAAAGACGTAAGTGTAGGGCTTTATATTAAAAAAAGAATTATTCAAAAATATGCTGTGATTGCTGACATCTTAGGCAACAAAGTAGTGTGTGTTTACACTTTATTATAATAGTATAAATTATTAGTAAGATTTGAATCCCCTTTTCTTATAAGGTATGGATGGATTTAACGGAGGAGGGGACACATTAAAAAGGGAATTTACTTTTTCTGTTGGTCCCCTTCATAAAAGTTAGGCAACAAATCTGAATTTGCGAAAGGGCAGTTTCGTCATTTCGGCGAATTTAGTTGGCCGTTAACTCATTAGCCATTTTATAATATAGAAAGATTAATCCCAAAAAAATGTCTTTTTTCGTATATCTTATAATTTCCAAACACCTTTCATATATCAGGCGTCACGACAACAAGAAGCGGTTCCAATGCGACCAGTGTAACCTGAGCTTCGTGTACCCCACACAGTTGCACAAACACACACAATCCGTGCACATAAGAAGAGATTATTATTGTGTTGAGTGTGATATCAAATTCAAATCTATGGTAAGTGTTTTTACTAGCTTTCGCCCGTGACTCCGTCCGCGTGGAATTAAAAATATTGTTTAATCCTTATCAACACTACAATTATGAATCAAAAAAGGTAATTAAACATAAAATAATGAAAAACCCAACTAATAAAATAAAAAAAAGAAATATTTAAAATTAGCGTTGCAATGCAAATTTTAAATATTTTTTTTTCAAGAAAAAAAATTGACGAGAAAATATTCAACGATTGAGCTAAAAATAATAAAACAAAATTACGACCATTTTCGAGCGACTAAAACGCGACCGGAGTTGTCATGAGACGATTAATAAATGTCAACACAATGACACACAGAAGACAGGCGTGAAGTGGAAGCAATTCCGTGTTTCGTCTGATGAGTGTGGTGCCGGAGGCCTAATTTAAGTCCCTTTCCCTTTACTATCCCTTTCTTATACGGAGAGGATGGAAAGAGGAAGTGGATTTGACGGTGGAGGAGATGCATAGGATGGGGAAGTATCCTCTTTATGTGCGTCTCCTCCTCCGTCGTATAAGGGTAGGCAACGCATCTGCAATTGCGGATGTCTATGGGCAGCGGTCGCTTCGCCATTTTGGCGAATTCAGGTGGCCGCTTGCTCGTTTGCCATCTTATGTTATAAAAAAAAATTGACGTCAATCGTCATATTCCATTCATATGGTAGTTGGAGAGTCAGTAAATGTATAACTTTGAAGTATCAAATTATTTTCTTTTGAAAGAATGAGTAAATGATCTTAATTGTATTACGATTACGTTTAAGAATAAATCTTAAGCATGTATAATCTGTATTGAATGAACCAAAGTAATTTTTGTTTCAATCAGAAAAAAAATTGCGTGATATTTGCCGAGACCCCCCTCTCTCTCCAACGTAAGATTAGATTAGATTTGACTCGACCCCCTCCCCCCTTAAACACCTCACATAATTTATAGACGCCCCCTTAGTAAGATATCAGCTTTATAAACTACAGTACACCAGTACAGATATCACCAGCAATATAAAGGGTCTGCTGGGGTTCTTCGGTGAGCTTGGCTGGAGTAATCCATGTCCTATTCTCACGCAAAATACGCGCTAGTCGTGGAGTTTCGGAAACCGTAGCCCCTACTACTACTACTACTACTACTAGGCTACTTATTTATCTTAATTAAAAAGTTATTTTAGTAAATTAGCGGAATACCACTGTTTTACTAATTTCACTAATATCATATTTGCTTATTTACTTCCCTCAAATACATTAAATGTTACAAAAACATTACAAAGTATTTCTCAACTTTATATTGTGAACTTTCACTGATCTGAGTTTCGGGCAGTGAAAACTTACACTAATATCTCATTATAACTATTTTTTTTAACCAGGACACATTAAAATTACATTTCAAAAGAGCGAAAAGACATCGAGATGTTACACATAAGTAAGTATAATGTAAATTTAACTTATTGTTGCTCCCGACTTTATCTGGGTGCAATTAAAAAAAATAGAAAAAAAATTGAACCCATGTTACTTGATAACTTAGTTTTTTAATGGTGAAAGATTTTTTAAATCAGCCCAATAGTTTTTGAGTTATTTCAATATATACAAAAATACAAATCTTTCCTCTTTATATTACTAGCACAGACTAGCTGTGGCTCTCGACTTCGTCCGCGTGAAATTTAAAAATATAGCCTTTATTACTCAGAGATAAATTACCTTTCTAATAGTGAAAGAATTTTTGAAATCGACCCAGAATTAATAAAATTTAATTCTGGGTCGATTTCAAGAATTAATAAAATTAAAAAAACCAATCTTTAATAAAATTTGTATTTTCAGTAACAAAAATGAAACTAGATGTATATCTCGTACAAGATCTCGTCGAAAACAACATAATAATTAAGTTAGAGAGTAAGTAAGTTATTTTATTATTATTGCATCTTTTAAAATAGGTTATGTAAATAAAAAACATTAATACTTTCTCATTTTTTTATTAAAAATAAACTTTACAATAACAAACATGCACCATTGCAACATTAAAGTAATTAAATATTTTTAACAATATTATTACAAAAGAGGTCAAATTAAAATAGTTTCCATAACTTTGAGGTTCAAAATTAATATTTTTTAAATTTCGAACTTTATAAAGCACATGTAAATTAAAAAAAAATTGTACAAAAATCAATAACTAGTAAAAAAAACTTAAAACAATGGAATGTAACACTTTCTCTGAACTAAACGGATTATAATAAATACAACTAGGCGACTAAATAATACAATTATTTTAAATACTAGCTTTCGCCCGCGACTCCGTCCGCATCATCATCATCTCCCCTGCCTTATCCTACTCCCGTAGGGTCGGCGCACCGGGTTTTTGTCCTCCAAAGCACTCTATCATACGTCATCTCAGTCACCACTCCCTTCTTGATCTCTCTAGGTCATCTCTTTCTAGGTCTACCTCTACCGATGTACCCCTCCACATTCATATCTAACATCCTTCTTGTTACATGCGATTCATCCCTCCTCATAATGCCCATACCACTCTAACCTTTTACTCCTTATTTTCTCAACCACTGGGGCTACTCTCAAACTTCCTCTAATATACTAAACATTCGCATTTCCGCTACATGTATTCTCCTTTCATCCGTCCCTTTCACTGCCCAACATTCAGATCCATACATCATGACAGGTCTTACGACGGTTTTGTAAATTTTCCCCTTTATTTTAAGGGGAATATGCGGGTCGCATATTACACCTGTAACCTGTCGCCATTTCATCCATCCCGCTTTTATTCTATTTCTCACGTCACGGTCAATATCGCCGTCGTTTTGGATTAATGAGCCGAGGTACCGAAAGTCGGAGCAAACTGGAAGATGGGCGCAATCTAAAGCAATCGGGATGAAACTAGATAAGCCCCCGAAGTCGCAGGATAGCTGCTCCGTTTGAGAGTAGTAGTAGTTTTTTGAACTCCGCATAGAGTCCAAAAAACCAAAACTGAGTAGCCTATGTGTTCTTCCATACTATCCTTTACGTCTATGCCAAATTTCATCGATCTCCGTTCAGTAGTTTAGACTACAAACTCGGGACAAACATCCATACAAACTTTCGCATTTATAATATTAATATGCTGCCACATCTAATATTATAAATACGAAAGTTTAGATAAATGGATATATGTTAGAAATTGTAGCCTAAACAGCTGGACAGATCTCAATGAAATTTGGCAGACATAGAGTATAGTCTGGAAGAACACATATTCACTGTTGTTTTCAATTCCACGCAGACAGAGTCGCAGGCAAAAGCTAATTTGTCATTATAAAATGTTTTAGATGAAATTGTTAGTTCACTATATTGACAACAGCCATATGGTCCTCGTAAATCTGACCATAGACAATCATCAATCTTGTCTCATACATTTCCTTTTTTCTAACACGATCATAGACTTTAAAGCGCTCGCAATAACATACCTTAATTCATGGAATTTTGATATAGATAATCTGTATGTTTTAGTCTGTGCGTCAGTTAATTTTAATATTAATATAATATGTGTGTCTCTTTGTATTATTTCTTTTGCCCTTTCTGGATTTGCATTTTCAGCTTCTATATTATTTTGACTGGAAAAAAAAATTATTTATTAATTAACTTATAAACTATCTTTCGCCTGCGACTTCACCGCATGGAATTAAAAAAAAAAACAAAAATAAACAGCCTGTGTTCTTCCAGACTATCCTCTACATCTGTGCCAAATTTCTTTGAGAGTCAGAAACATCCATGCATAAACGGAAGAAGTAACATACGTCTCCTGGCTCTAAGCTAGCTCCTCACCAATTTTTAGTAATTTCGGTAAAGCCGTTCTTGAGTATTAGTGTAAATAAAACGACTATTTTATATACATATACTAGTTTTAGATAAATAAATTGGAAAAAACCTTCATGTGGGAAAGGGATTATAAACTACAAACTGCCAACTTTAAGGAACCAAGGTAGGGTAATGGTTATTTTGACATTTTCAATTGAGAATGTAGCAAATTGTAGTGTAATGTAGTTAACAGTGGTAGTGCCCGCTTTAACATCTTCGCACGAATGGGCCGGCTCGCCCCCAGTAATACCACGACCACACAGAAAACAGGCGTGAAGTGGAAGCAATTCCGCGTTTCGTCTGATGAGTGTGGTGCCGGTGGCCTAATTTAATCCCTTTCCCTTTCCACCCTTTTCTTGAGAGGAAAGGATGGGAAGGAAAAGTGGATTTGACGGTGGACGAGACATATAGAAAGGGAAAATTTCCTCTTTATGTGCATCTCCTCTTCCGTCAATGAAGGGTAGGCAACGCATCTGCAATTGCGGATGTTTATGGGCAGCGGTCGCTTTCCATTTCGGTGGATTTAGGTGCCGCTTGTTCGTTTGCCACCTTATATTATAAAAAAAAATGTAAACAATAAAATAAAGTTTTTATAATTTCATGCGAGGAAGCCATACGGGAACAGCTAGACTTACCATAAAGATAAATCTATCTTCCATTGCATATTATCCAGTCTTTGTTTAATATATAAATGTCTTGGTATATTATCATATATTTTATCTGTACATAATAATGCTGTAAGTTCCTCTGCACATTCTGGATTGAATCTGAAAGACAATGAAAAACTGTAGTAATCGATAATTAATTTAGTAGTACATAGTTGTTTTAAGTTTATTTAAACTGCCTGTGGATTATCTGTGCAGAATTAAAAAATGTAACTTCACAAGTAGCCTATGTGTTCGCATAGACTAAGTTCTATGTCAGTGCCAAATTTCATTAAATTTAGTCATCTTGGAGGTATGTAGTAAAAACATCCATCCATCTATTCACATTTATAAAATTATTATATTGTAGTTATGTGTGCTTCACAATACCCAAGTCAAATTTCACATAAAAAATAGTTCAAGTATAGTGTGTATAGTACAAAGTCTTCATGAGTAAATCTAATAATTATTCAAACATACTTCAGATTTTCAAGAAAGTTTCTGATATCAGTGGCACACCATGGCTCCTTAGTGGCAGATCTAGAGCGTGCTACGTGTCTCACTACCGCCCTTACTGCAGAAAATTTACTAGAATTCGTTAAACTGGATGTACGACTGTCCGGATTACCTTCTAGTTCTTTGAGGCTGACTGAAAAAAAAACGAGAAGATTATGCGATGTCTACAAAGGTGAAGACGAAGAATGTATTGTGCTACAGATTTTGAACGTACGTACTCTATGTAGGGAAATAACCGGAAGATGATATCAAATGTAAATTATAATAAAGTGATTATATATTAAAAACGAATTGTTTACGTACGAACAACAAATGGTTTTATTTCCTTCTTTTGAATTTCGGGAATAACGTACGAAGCAGATGTCCATTGACCGGGACTTTCAGTTAGTAATTCAAATTGTAGTGACATTATAAAAGCCTGAATTTCAGAAAAAATATAATAAAAATATAATTCAAAAACACGACTTTTGACAAAAACACAATCGAATCAATACTGTCAAACCAAATGTCATTGTGATTGAAGAGTGTATTGCCATTTCAACATAAAAGTTTTAATGTTGATAGTTGATTTCATAACCTTAATTATGTTTAAAATGTATGTAAAGCATAAGAATATTTTCCTTAGTTAATGCGAGATTTTGTACATTTCTATTGCAAATTACTAATTTTCAGGACTATCAAATCCTGAAGAACATTTTATAATCTGTATTGTAAAACATTTGGCAACGATTCAATAAACATTTTTTACTCTACGTGTAATGGCCGACTGTTTCTTATTGTGACGCTTAAATTATTGCTTGAAAATTTAAAGAATATCGCATACTCATAAACCAGTAACTTAGATATTTTTAAACTGTGTTCATATTTGTTTGTGTATATATAAAAACTTAACATTTAGCTTGAAATGGCGGCTATACAAGGTCCACCAGGGAAGCAGTGGCCGGTGCGTCCTGGCGTGCAACATCAGAATAGTTTAAATAATGGAAATTTAACATTAAACAGGACAATAAACTTATATCCTCTAACTAATTATACTTTCGGGACGAAGGAGCCATTATTTGAGAAAGATGCGTCGGTACCAGCAAGGTTTCAGAGAATGCGGGAAGAGTTTGTCAAAATCGGTATGAGGAGGTTAGTTGACGGTTTTCTAACTGTATTATACATTACACAATCCTAAATGTTTTCGACTTGAATAAAAATCTCTTATATATTTTACAAACTAAAGTTTATCCTTCAATTTCATAAATATTTAGTTTTTCTCAATAATTTGCAGAAAAATTTTACCATCGAATTAGATAAGATTAGGGTAAGAAGAGAATAGCATGAGATGTTACTGGACTGGTATCAAAAACTCTTTCACCAATGAATACCTATGCTATCTCTCAGTAACATAAGCTATTATAAGGAAGGCCTAATTTTAGTCCCTTTCCCTTTCCACCTATATCTTGAAAGAAGAGGATGGGAATTGGAAATGGATTTTACGGTGGAGAATTCGCATAGGAAGGGGAAATGCCCTCTTTATGTGCGTTTCCTCATCCGTCAATTAAGGGTAGGCAATGCAACTGCAATTGCGGATGTTTATGGGCAATGGTCGCTTTCCATTTTGGTGGATTCAGGTGGCTGCTTGCTCGTTTGCTACCTTGTATAATAAATAAAAAGTTGTATTTATTACAATTTTCATTTTCGCACGAACAAAGAATGAAGTAACTGTTAGTATTTTATATTTTATGTCTTATCCACATTTATATAGAGTTATTTTAGAAGTTTGAAAGTATTCAAACTTCTAAAATAACTTTATATATTATATATATCGTTACTACGACAGTGGTGGAGAAATTGAGAAGCAAAAGGTTAGTGTGGGATGGACATGTGCGACGAGACAATGGGGACATAAACCAGAAAGTGTTAAGATTGAATGTGGATGGCTACAAAGGTAGAGGAAGACCGAAGAAAGTATGGATTGTGTGAAAGAGGATATGCTTAAGAAAGGAGTGGATTCAGATGACAGCTGATAGAGATGTATGGAAGAGCAGCACATACTGTGACAATCCTCCTTAAGGGATAAGGGCAAGTGGATGATAATCCACTTATATATAAATACCCCTGTTTGAACCACAGTATGTCCGTCTCAATGAGCTTAAAATTTCTTTATTTTCAATTCCAGGTCTGTAGAAGGTGTGCTATTGGTTCATGAGCATGGATTACCACATGTGTTGCTGTTGCAGCTTGGAACAGCATTCTTTAAGCTGCCTGGAGGTGAACTGAACCCTGGAGAGGTATAGTATATCTTACTAATATTATTTTTAAAGTTTAGATGAATGTATGCATTTTTTCAGTAGGTATATCGGGAACAGATTTATGGGTTTCAATGAAATTTGACATGGATGTAGAATGTCTGGAAGAAGACTTTAAGAGAGTACTTACTTTTCTTAAGCAAGGGCTATTATTATTATTATTCAATATAAATGAGAAACTATATAAATGTGTCACTTGCTGACATTATTTATAGTCTGTGTATTTATTTTGTAAAATTTCAGAGTTTAAATTGATACAAAGATATCTGTATGTCTTACGAGCTGTCGCCCGCAAACTTAGCTAGCGCAAATTAGGACCACCCATTACGCCATTTTGACAGTGGGGAATTAAAAAATATAGCCTATAATATGGCCATCTATGTCAGTTACCCTTCAGTGAAAGTCTGGTCGATATCGGCCCAGCCGTTTCGGAGATTATCCGGAACAAACGCGGCTTGCGGACAGACACAGACAAAAAATTTTCAAACGTTCCCGGAATCTGGAATTTTTTATTTTGATATTACAAACGGACACTCCAATTTATTATATGTATAGAAAATACGGTGAAGGAAAACATCGTGATGCCTGCACATATCGGCAAAGAAATTCAAAGATATGTGTGAAGTCAACCAACCCGCAGTGCAGTGTGGTTGACTATGGCCTAGTCACCGCTTTTTAGGGTAGGCTCCCCCCTCAGTGGGGGCGTATAGTGAGCTAGTGATGATGATAGAAGATATCTAATTTACATCTACAATTATTATAATTTACACAAATTAAATTACATTTATTGTTATTTCAGGATGAAATAGAAGGGTTGAAACGTCTTTTAACAGAGACATTGGGGAGACAAGATGGTGTTAAACAAGAGTGGGTGATAGAAGATACTATAGGTAAGAGAACATTTTTAAATTTCAAGTAATTTTAATATTAACATTTGGCATGCGGGGAACGTTTTTTCACGTTTCTTTAGTCTGTCGCTGGGGCGTGGGTCACGTAAAAATACGAATTTTGAATATTCCTTGTATCTATCTATCTTTTGTGTTAATGGCGTTTCCTTAGAGATTTTACCAATGTCAATTATACATAATACTCTGCTTTATAATTTACTAGATGCTGTCTGCGACTTCGCCCGATTGAAGTTAAAAAATATAGCGTATGTTACTCACAGATAAATTAATTTTCTGATGGTGAAAGAATTTTTAAAATTGGCCCAGTAGTTTTTGAGTTATTTCAATAAATACAAAAATACAAATCTTTTCTCTTTATAATGTTAGAATTATATCTGTGTTGTTAATTCTCACTTAAATTGTACAGTTTGGTGCCTAAACATGCATAGTTTTAACAGTTTTCAGTATCCATTTAAAGCTTGCTGCTGGATTTTAAAATCCTAATGTTATAAAGAGGAAAGATTTGTATTTTTGTATGTATTGAAATAACTCAAAAACTACTGGGGCGATTTTAAAAATTCATTCATCTTTAAAATACTATGCTATTGTTACGTATGCTATATTTTTAAATTTCATGTGGACGAAGTCGCTAGTATCAGCTAGTCATTAATGGAGTTTGTATAAAACTGTGTACTGTCCCTATTTGTATAGTACACAAACGAATGTTATACAAATTTTAGGACATAAATACTTTCTTGAAGATTTTCGTGCTAAGACTCCGAGAATATAAAAATTCTATCTATATTTCGAATAATTTTCTTTACTTCACAAAAGCTATGTAATAAATGCTGCGACAGGTTCTAAGCTAGGATTTTTATATTCCTACTCTGGCTGTAATCTGAAACATTTTTTAACAATTTCCAGGTAACTGGTGGCGACCGAACTTCGAACCACCACAATACCCTTACGTTCCACCTCATATTACTAAACCTAAAGAGCATAAAAGATTATTTCTAGTACAATTACAAGATAGGGCATTGTTTGCTGTACCAAAAAATTATAAACTTGTTGCAGCACCGCTATTTGAACTGTATGATAATGCACAAGGATATGGTCCAATAATATCTTCGTTATCTCAAAGCCTTTGCAGGTTTAATTTCGTCTATATGTAGTGTATGAGTGCTAACGGACCACCGGTAACAGCTGTTAGGAAACGGAAAAGAAGGAAAAAACACAAGAAACCACATATATGAAATAAAATTGTCCCCTGGGACTTAAATGTGTCTCCTAGCTGTCCCACATTTTATTTTGATCTAAAAAATTTAAAAAATTACTTTAAAGTACTAAGTAACAATCCCTATATTAATAGTTAACTCAAAAACTACGTGTCAGTTTTTCATTACAATAACTGCTCCATCTTGAATATTGACTAATCTCCCTTTGACAGCATTATGTTCCCCCCTTAGTCAACCACTGCCCCCCAATCATCGATTACATCCCTTTGATTGTAGACTACATAGGGGATGTAAACAGTAGAGGGGTGCCTTTATTATCGACTACATGATGATGTAAAAGGTAAGGGGGGGGGCTTGATTATCGACTACATCCCCCCTTCAATGTAGACTATGGGGGTGTAAAAGGTAAGGGGGGAGGGGTTGATTGTCGACTACATCACCTTGATTGCAGACTACATGGGGATGTAAACAGTAAGTGGGGGCCTTAATAATCGACTACACCCCCCTTGATTATTGATTAGTCCCTCCCCTTCACTATCGAGTATTCCCCGACAAGTGGTCCGTTTTTCCAAAAAAAAACTTCAAGTGACGTATTTTTTATATTAATAAGAAAGTGTCTAGTATTTTAAGTACATTTGACTAAAGTATAGTTATAATAATAAAAAACGTGTTTTATTTATTGTCACCTCAAGAAAGAAGATTGTTTTTAATTTTAAGGTTGTTTTAAGTATTTTATAATCTGTGATATTGTCTGTGATCAAATTAGCCATAGACTGTTTTCTTTTTCAGAAAATATAAAACTAAAGATGTTGACCGTTATATTAGGTCTATCTATGAAATTTCCGTTTTGTATGAAAAAAAATTAAACGATTTTTTTTGTGTATTTTTTATTTGAAATAATCGAAGTTACCCATGCAATTAAGAGTTCGTAAGGAACCCATTAGTCAATTTTATCTTGCGTATTTGACTCAAATGGACCAATATTGTTTTGCTAACATCCAAAGTAGATAATTCAGTCGTGGATTGTGTGTTTTAGTTTCCACGATCGCATTCTGAATACATTTTTAGGTCGAAGTTTCCAGAACAGAAGCCAGGAGACCAATCACAGGGCTATTTATACTCTACCAATTATTCTCTACTTTCTTTATTTCTTACTAGCTGTTGCTAGCGACTTCGCCCGCGTGTAATTTTTTTTTTTTGATAACTATAACCTATTTTTGAAATCAGCCCAGGAGTTTTTACGTGAATCGAATACATACAAAAATCCAATTCTTTTCTCTAATACAGTCTACTTAAAGTCCAAGGGAAACACAAAATATTTTAAGTTATAGAGGTTTTAAGTTATCAAGGGTCTATGTTATATAGGTTTTGGGCTCTGATGGGAAGGTAACATATTTTTTGAAGTTATAGAGGTTTGAGTTATCGAGGTTCTACTGTATTATAGTTTGTCTAAATAGGATAGATTAGTTTGATAAATGACGCATATGAAGTATCGAATTCAATTTGTATAAAGGCAAATGCCATACTTAATAGACAGGTGTTGTAGTAACGAAACAAACACACATAGCGAACAATTTTGAACTATCGATATTCAGTTTAAATAACTATCAAACTCAACTAAAATTATTATTTTCTTATTAACTATTGTATAGGACAATTCTAGTATTGACTATAGTGTAGAGAATTTAGCGATGCAACTTCTATAAGAATAAAAATCGAAAATCGATCAGATTCATGACTGATTTTACACAACCCATCCCTACTAAATTTGAAGTGAATTGTCAAACTAATCTAAATTATTTAGACACACTATACTTGATTTTTAGTTGTGCAACTAAACAGTTAAAGCTGCGAAACAATCGACAATCGCGCACTCTTAAAATTGAGGTTATGTTTTTTGAATTCAGTTCGATCGGAGTCGGAGATAACAATTGGTTAATTTTTAATTTTAGTTAGTTACTTATCTTACTATTACGTACGGCTGTACTAGTAATAAACATTTACTTACTCTCATTATTTGTCATGATTATTGTTAAGTTATAACTATAAATCTATCGATTCCAACTTCTATAAAAATACAAATCGATAATATACATGCTACTAAATTTGAAATAAATTGTCAAACTAATCGAAATAATTAAGACAAACTATAGTATAGATTAGAAACCATATCCATCCCACAGCCCCCACGGCCGCACCTCCTCCGGCCACGAGGGCTGCGAGAGGGCGGGATAAACCAAGGACCAGCAGTGCCCAGGAGGCGCGCATCAGGGTGGGCGCCCTGAGCGCGACAATATAAGATCAGCTCTAACTAGTAGTAATAGTACGTACTATTTGATATATACTTGTATCTACACATTACCTAGATTTTTTATATGCAAATATGAAAAAAACGAATATTTTCCCATTCGGAAATTTTCCCCGGGTTTCTTCTCCTGTTTTTTCCCACATGAGAGTTTTTTCCGGGTAAAATTCCTTCTCTAGCCGTAATACACATAAAAAATAAAAAAATACATACAGACGAATTGAGTATCTTCTTCTTTTGGGAAGTCGGTCAAAAAGAGAGCGACCTATCGTCCGGGCCTGGGCTATCGTCTTTTCCGTCACACGCGTGGTCACATAAATGCGGGGTGTGGAGGGGGTTTCGCCGGAACGACGAGCACAGAACCGCTCCTAACGATGCCCGCGGGCGGATTGACGCTAAATCGGGATGGCATTAAGAGTAGATTTTAATTAAATTCGATTAAAAATTAACTAATCAACGTATTGCTAAAAGCTTCGGGTTAACAGAAGATAAAGTACTCGTGTACCAAATAAACCACTTCGAGTTTTTGCTTTCGTTGTAGTATTGCAAATATATGGAGATTTTTACAGAATTAGGCACATTTTCAAAAAATAAATCTGTCGAGAAAAGTTTGTCCAATCGTGATTCTGTTCCACGAGACTTTAGTTAAAGGACTAAAGTTACAAATACTAAAATATCACGAATCAAATCTTTGTAGAAATCCTGTTCTATGCTTCCAAAGATGCGCAATTCGCGAGAACAGCGCCTTAAAATACGTGAATCAAATACATGTGAAAATCCAAAAACATAAATCTTTCCACTTTATAATATTGGTATAGACATAAAAAAGGCAATATATTATGTAAAACAAACATATAAATGGCCACACTTTTAATTTAAGACAAAAACATGGTTTGCACAAGTGAAATTTCAGGTTAATTTATTACATTTGTATTTACAAAGATGATATTTTCGGAAATAAGTTTTGGTACAAATAAGTGCATCGTTTATGAGGTTAGTCAGTCTAGCTTTAGGTCTCTTATAGTCCATAGGCCTTAATATGGGTCAGTACAAAACTTTCCTCGGTGCCACACGCAATGTAAGTATTGTAATTTCTTATCTAGTTTAAAATGAAAAGATTGAAAAATATGCAGAAGAAATAGTTGACACTTCACTTGAATTTATTTTAATAAACTCATTAACGCTTGTTGAGATCAAGACCATTATTTATATTTGACTTATATTTATATTATTCTCAACCGTCACCACGCTCCGCCACACGTGAGAAAATAGTTTCATCCGTCCCACCTTTTAGTCCCACTATCACTAATACGGTGACAAATGGAACCGTTATAAAATATAAAATAAGTTTTAACCGTCCCCTCGTCGCAAAAGTTGGGATAATTGAAACTTTTTATTCTCACCTGTACCGACGTGGGAACGGAGCTGGGTGACGGTTGGGAATAATCCAAGATTTCCATATTAAGGCTCCCGTTACTGTAAAGTAAAGGGGCGTAAAGTTACCTGCTAGGAATTGTGTCTTTATGGGTATAGAAGATTCACTGAGCCCTTGTTACCTATCATACTAATATTATTAATGGGAAAGTTTAAATAATTAGGTTGATTTTTGTTAGAGTTTGTAGCCTAAAGGGCTTAAAGACGTATTTATCTTCTTATATCTTTATTTTACATGCTTCCGTTACTCGCTATAGTTTTCTAATCTACTGACATTCTTTCTCTCCTCGAACTCTGACATGCGTAATCGAGTCTACGCATGCCAGTTACATCGCCACAGGCTGTAGTACGGGTTTTTATGAAATTTAGTATATATGGAGAGGTTAGTCTGGAAGAACACATAGGTTACTTGTATTTGTTTCCTTTATTCCGCGCGGCCGAAAGCAAGTCCATGCTAATGTTATCAAGTGGAAAGATTTGTATTTTTGTATGTCTTGAAATAACTCAAAAACTACTTGGTCGATTTTGAAAATTCTTTCACTTTTAGAAAGGTAATTTTTCTATGTGTAGGTATTTCAAGCGGGCGAATTCGCGAGCAGCAGCTAGTTGACTTATATATTTGTTGATAGCGTGACATCATGTTCTGGCTCCACTGCCTTCTCCTAGGCAGCGCTCTCGGCGTCGAATTAGACGTTGGTCTGTCTTTAAACCCGGTGTATCTGGCGGAGCAGTACTACCACCAGCGTGTGGGGATACCACTGGCGGAGAAGATACGCAAAGCGGAACTCGCCGGCAGTAATACCACTAATACAATCACCGACGAATCTTCGCTGCTCAAAGAATACCCCTTCGTGGTAATGTTATATTATTATTAAGCCTTAATTGCCTGTGTCTTATCTTTTTTAGTAGATCTTCCACTTTGGTTGATGTATATCATTGTAGTAATGTATACCGTTACTAAAGCACAGCTGAAATCAAATTGAACGAAGATAACCCGGTGCGCAGAGCTTAGGCAAGTAGGATAAGGATGGGCAGAATACAGCTGAAACAGATATCGGATCCTTGATATCGATCCGATTAATAAACGAAATGTATCAAAATATTTACTAGATGTTCCCGTGCGACTTCATCCGCAAAAAATTATGATTTATTTTATTATTTACATGTTCCAAATTATCAATAGTGAATTTCAAAATGACATGACATGACAAACCTTAGCAATCTTTCTTGATGTTGGCAGCAACTTATGGTCTCTTTCCCACATTAGGGTTTTTATCCAAAATGTTTAATGGCGTTAAAATATATAGCCTGAAGCGTGACGCAAGTGTTGGGCTTTTTATAAAAAAAATAATTATTCAAAAATATGCTGTAATTGCTGAGACCTTAGGCAACAAAGAAGTGTGTGTTTACGCTTTATGATATTTGTATAAAAAAGATAGACTGTCCCATCATGTTCACTAATGGCTCTTTTTGTATATAGGGTAATATGATAATCCAGCTAAGGTCAGGGTCTACATCGATGTGCGGAGGCTCCCTACTTACTAAGACTAGTGTGTTGACCGCGGCACATTGTTTTCTGGATGGCAGGGACTACGGACGTAACTACACCATGGTCTTAGGCTCTATGAAGTTATACAGCGGCGGCATAAGACTCACCACCAATAAGACTGTACTACACGAGAACTACAATAGGTACACGTTGGACAACGACATTGCACTGCTTTTCCTCCCCAATGTTACATTTAATGGTGAGTTCAACAGTGGGTTTACCGTTTTTAGAGAGTAAGACGTTCTAATCTCTTATATTTCTGTTGTGACGCTAGTTGAATTAGACGTATCCTCGCGAAATTAATGTTTATGATAAAAACAAAAAAAAAAACTTAAGTTGCACTTGCAGATGTCGTGGCTCCCATCCGTTTGCCGTGGGGTTCGCTATTGCAAAGCGATTTGACGGGTTACTCCGCACAGGCCATCGGCTTTGGACTCACTGAGAACGGTCAGTATCATTTATGTGACATAGATCTTGTTTACCATGTCACTTATTATATAACACGCTACATGTTTCACCAACTCACTATACGGACCCATAAGCTCGGAGCCTACACTAAGTTAGTGACTAGGCCAGTCATCTGTTCTTAAACCCGTATGTGAAAATCCTGCACATTCTGTGATTGAGTTATGCTTTGTAAACTGTTTGTTATTTTGTGTAGATGGTCAGTTTCTGAACAATGTGACGTTTGAGGTGAACAGTAATGAGTTGTGCGGGCGTACATACAGCAATATGAACGAGGCCAAGATGTGCGCGAGCAGTGCAAACGGAAGCACTTGCTTCGAGGGCTCCGGGGCACCTCTTGTCATGACACACGAAGGGCAGCAAGTCTTGGTGAGATATCTTCTATACTTTGTTTCGTAAGATGTCGGCAATCACAGTATGTTTTTGAATAATTCTTTCTTTAATATAAAACCCTACAGTTACGTCACGCTTTAGGCTATATATTTTCACGCTATTAAACTTAGAGGATTAATTTGGAAAAATCCTTCATGCTGGAAAGGGACCTTTACAAGCTGCCAACATTAAGGAAGCGAGTTTACTGTGGTAACGGTTATTTTGACATTTGTAATTGAGAATTTGACAAATGTAAACAATAAAGTAAATTTATTTTCCCCTACTTTTGTAAATAAATCATATTAATTGCGAAAAATTAGAGGATTATGTTGTATTTGCAGATTGGCATATCATCGTACGTACCAAGAGCTGTCTGTCCAAGCAAACAGCCTGCGGTATTCACTGACGTGATGGACTACATATCCTGGATAGCGGCTAATGCGTAGTTGACCATACAACTAACGCATAAGGTTGCTTACTAACAAATATATATAAAAAGTTTTTGTTATAATATGTATATTAAGTGTTGTGTGAAATATCGGATTTTGTTACCTTATCTGACAGGGACGGCTTTTACCCAACCGTCACACGGCTCTGTCCCCACGCGAAGACATATGAGAAAGTAAAGTTTTATCTGTCCCACGTTTTGCGACGAGGGGACTTATTTTATATCTTAACGGTTTCATCTGTCACCTTATTGGTGATAGTGGGACTAAAAGGTGGAACCTATAAAACTTTTTATTCTCATCTGTCTCCACGTGGGGACAGCGGGGTGACGGTTGGGTTCACAGTGACCAAATTTTTAAGCTATCTGAGTTATCAGACAGGCCGTTAATAACTAGAAAGGTGAGATGATGAAGGGAGTGATGACCGTGATGATGGCTGTTGTTATTTGGAGGAGGAAAATCCGGAGCCGATATTAGGGGAGTTAGATAAGGTTGGGAAGACGATGACTAACAAATGATTTATTATTGTGTGGGTTTTTATAAAATAAATGATTCAATAAATACAAGTTTTTATTTACCGTTGTTTACCTTTTATTACTAGCAAAAACAATCGTCTCTTTATATTAATTAGAATAAAACGAAATTAACTTTCAGTATTTTAAAAACTGGTATACATATGTATACTTTGCTTCGTAAGTGCCGCTTACAATCTGAAAGACGTTGATATTTTAAAGGACTTTGGGCGGTTTCCCAACTAAATTTAACCATTTGTTAGTGTTTTTGGTTCAATAATTTCATGAAATTCGTTTCCGAACTATATTACTTGAGTTTTACATTGAAACTAAGGTCCATCTAACAGTAAAGAATCACTAAATAATGATAAAATTAATGGTAACTCCAGAAACATGGCATTAGAAGTTTTACCGTGGCCTTATTTAAGATACGCATTGAAATGTCATTTCAGTATTCGGCTGTAAGCATAAAATGACATGACCTTGCTGAAACTTTGTTTTTTTAATTCCACGCGGACGGAGACGCGGGCGAAAGTTAGATTAAAAATCTATCATTATAAACTACTAGCTTCCGTCCGCGTGGAATTTAAAAAAACACAAGTGAGTACGTGTTCTTCCAGACTAACCTCGACACCTTTATCAAATTTCACCGAAATCCGTTCAGCAGTTTAGGCTACAAACTCTAACAAACATCCATCTAAACTTCGCATTTATAATATTAAGTATAATAGAGGATCTATGTACGTTCAAGAATAAATTTTTTTTTATAACATAAGATGGCAAACGAGCAAGCGGCCACCTGCATCCGCCAAAGTGGCGAAGCGACCACAGCCAATAGACATCCGCAATTGCAGATGCGTTGCCTACCCTTAACCGACAGAGGAGGAGATGCACATAAAGAGGATATTTCCCCTTCCTATGCATCTCTTCTTCCGTAAATCCACTTCCCGTTCCCATCCTCTCCTTATAAGAAAAGGGTGGTAAAGAGAAAAGGACTTAAATTAGGCCTCCGACACCACACTCATCAGACGAAACACGGAATTGCTTCCATTTCACGCCTGTCTGTGTGGTCGTGGTATTACACCGGGCGTGCCGGCCCATTCGAACGAAATCTATGCTTATCTTTTATTAAATTGCTAATTTACGCAAAGAAATTGTATATAAAATTTCGATTTATTTGTTTAAATCAACGATGTCGTATAACCTCAATTCAATTAAAATTTAACGACAAAACATTTTCCAACCTATTCTTCGAAATGCGTTCGTTATTCGTAGTGTTGTTTTGCGCGGGCTACGTCACTTGTCGGCTGTGGAGAAAGGGAGTAGTACATTATGCTATTAATAAAAAAGATTATGGTATATTTTTTTTTAATATAAAAAACCGTTATAGTATTATGCACGATTCACACTTGGCAGTACAGTAAGTCAGTAGCAATCAAGAAATGGCTTGGCAAATACTTGCATTATGTGAATACTGGAGCCATTGAGTTCATAAAATCTATAACTGGCCGTAACAACTATCCAACTATACTGGCCAAGTGTGAACCGCGCATAAAATTAGGCCTCAGGGCGCTTTAATAGGTTTATTTATTTCGTAACCTACGTATAGTCTGTAGTTTTATATTTTCCCGCATTGTTGAGAGGTTTTTTATTATATGTTCCTGGTTAAAATATAATTATGAAGTTTTCACAGGAGCAAACAATCAGAAGCGCAAATGACATGTATTTGAATGTTCACTGAACCGGTCTTTAGTGATGTGTTTCAATGAGTATTTTTTCCCTGAGTAATAGTCGTGGGTAACCCAATAAGATCGATCTGTAGATCAGCTCACGGTCCTTATAGCAGATCAGTTCAATTAAGGCATGATTTGAGTCATCGGACAACTCTCGGCCCAGTTCACATAGTTATAGTGCTGATAATTTAGTTGTTGAGCCACGACTCAACGATCGAAGACTGTAAGTTGATCTGTTTAACCGACTCAGAGATTTATACGTCTACAGTAGGTTTTTTTCTTTATAGACATACATTCTCAAGATGAGATTATAACGACTTTATCACAACTACAAAATGAGATCTGCGTTAAATTCTTCTATACACCAAATAATTATACAGCAGACGAGAAAGATAAGATTCTTTTTATAAATAATCCAGATAAAAGAAAGAACTGTCCGCCGAGTATATACAATTTCACCGGCAGTGTTATAGTAAGTAAATATTCTATCTTACTAATATTGTAAATGCAAAAGTATAGATGGATGTTAGAGTTTGTAACTTAAACTGCTGAACGGATTTCGATGAAATTTGGCACAGATGTAGAAGAGAGACTGGAAGAATGCATAGGCTATTAACTTTTTTTATTCCCAGATGACGTTTTCGCGCGCGAAAACTAGACTGTTATAAAACCTATTGTTTGTATGGATGAATGTTTGCTGAGGTTAGGGCGGGGCACCTATCGCCTCCTTGAGAATTTAAATGTTAAATGTAGGTAGTTACGTGAAAATTACATTTGTTTTACAGGATATGCCTATAGGTTATAAATGTATAAATAGCAAGGATATCGCTAGAATTGTAATGGAAATGCTACGAGCGAGCGTCGAACAAACGGGTTTGTTAATTTTGTTACTTAATGCAAAAAAAAAATAGTAAGCAAAATATCATATATTTTTCAGTTTCGACAATCAACAGCTACGATTTGGTGAAGAAATTCCAAGAACGTGTAAGTCTTTACATTGAAATTAATTATTTTTTAAGCATGATATCGTTTAATCGTTGTATTTTTTTACAAGCTGTTGTAGTTTTTACACATTTTAATTCCCCAAGGATGCAGATTCGACCCATCCAACACTTCTAACGCCGCCTGATAGGAACTACATAAATGCACATTACCACGTAGAATGCGGAGCTCAAGCGCAACGTTCAGTCGCGTCTAGACGACTAGGGGATACTTCGGACGCTTTGCGATTAACTTCTGATAACACGGAGTATTATAAAGACAAGATATGGCCTTTGGCAATAGTTATGTACGGTGTTGATGAGAAAATGCGTAAGTTCATAACAGTTTTTTTTTACTTCTTGAAATACGACAACAATTATGTAAAATTATGTCATAACCTCTTGATTCTTAATGAAAAAAGTAACCAATTTATTCTCGGTGGACGAAAAATTAGCGGAAATGAAAAGTTCGTGCAATAACAGTCGGTATTATATTATGCCCGGTTCACATTTGGCCAGTACAATTGGACAGTTGTGATGTCTAATCATAGATTGTAAGCATTTATTGGTGCAAGTTAGCATTCATACTGTGCTAATGAATTATCAGTCCAGTTATTCAGCGGTTTTGACCAACTGTCCTGGTTAAGTGTGAACCGCGCATTATTGCTACTAGCGGCATGGGCGAGTCTTGGCGCCATCTTTACTATGGCTTGGGGGAGATTGTATTATTCGTAGATTTGTGGCTTTCTAGGCAAAACCGTGCTCTACTCTAAAACCGTTTCTAGTAACTGACGAGGCTGAATTGTCTGTAAATTATTTTAGGTACTACACCAGATTATAACCTCCTCAAATACGCAATGACCACAATCGAGTTAGGCAGTTGTGTTGTATTTCAAGAGATTGACACTAACGATGCCGTTTTAAAACCTAAGAATTATCTCTGGTTCACAAACGATGGAGAGGAAGTTCCTGTACTTGGGTTTAAAGAAGGAAAGCAGGTGAGTTTGCAAATCAATTAGAGGTTATGTTCATGTTTAACGTTTTATTAAGAAAAAAAAAACATAGAGTATAAACTTAATAGTGTAGGGAACTTTTTGGTACAGACTATAAATCTAGAATCTATGGTGCACGGAGCTCCGGGCCACGCCGCCCACGTGCTTGTGAACCTAATGCGGGCTTTAGGCGTGCCGATGATGTCAAATAGATTCGACAGAGACAACTATGTTACTATAGATTGGAGGAAAATACAAAAAGGTAAGATAAAATAAATAAAAAAAGATTTCTAAAACTTACAAGGACGTACGACTCGAAGTAAGACTTGGACTTTGAGATATAACCAATCCTGGACTGAAATTGTTTCAGTTATATTAAATAGCACACAAGAATGTTTTTTTTAGATTGTTCATTTGAAAATTATTAGCTAAGATAAAAGAAACTAGTAATGGATACGATTATAGTTTTCTGTGTTTTAATAACGAGGAATTCTAAGAAAATAGCGTCTTATTAGAATTGGGCTTCATTTTAGTTCAAGAAAAATTTTACAAAAAATCAACCCAATGCTTGTAAATTAAATAAATAGAATAAAGCCACACTAAATTTATAGTAATTTATTATTAACCCTAGGTAAAGAACATCATTTCGAGCGCGCCCCAGCTGCGGCTTGGGTCTCCACTCCATACGATTTCGACAGCGTGACGCACGCGCCCGCTAACTACATGTGCGGTGACTGCGACCTCGGCGGGCAAAGTGTTAAACCGCTACAGGTATAGTAACTCAACTAAAATGATCTTCAGATCAGTGCACTTCACAGATCAGCTCTATTTGTACAATCGCGATGTTCCACTTTTCCCCCCTTTTCCTACAAATAAGAAATTAGATAGCAGTGAGTGCAAACGAAGAGATAATAAAAAGAAACTGGCCGTAAATCTCCTATAGTTATACATCGCGTTGAGCTGTTGTCTGCTAAATTATTTTAGTTGTTGAACCGCTCAAAGATTAAAATCAGTCTAAACTGTTAAATCTGTTCAGAGTTCTTTTAAAAGTCTATCAATAAGTTGTTGAGCCATAGCTCAATACTAGTGAGCGGATTTGAACCGTTCAAATGATTTACACATGTCTAATTCTTTTATGATTTTCAGGACCATCTCTGGCAGAGGACATTGTCTATGGGTCACGTGACGCAACCCTCAGACGCCGATAGCAGACTTTTAGATTTATTGTATCGAGATGAATGTAGAGAGAGAATAGTGTCGGATAATTTAGAGGTTATGAAGAAAAAAACTGACCGATAATTGTTTGTTAATACTAGCGAAATAAAAATTTACATTAGAATTGTGGTTTTTTTTATAACATCGTCCTTTTTCAATAAGAATCAATAGATAAAAATACAACAAAGATATAATAACATTTCTCAGTTTACTTAGACGAATTATTTTATCTTCAAAGTAGTATATTCCATTTATTGTTGGCAATACATTTTGCTATCTATAAAATGATCAATTTTACGTCTCTTTTACACAATGATTCCTTGAAATTATACTTCTAACTAGCTGTTCACCAGAGTGAAATTTAAAAATAATACATAGCCTATGTTACTCACAGATAAATTTAAAATCGGCCCATTACTTTTTGTGTTATTTCAATATACACAAAAATACAAATCTTTCCTCTTTATAATATAAGTATAGATTAAATCCAATAAAAATAGTATTTGTCCCACAAAGGGGTTATAATAATAAAGGGAGCATAGTTGACACTTCACTTGATACATTTTTCACTCAATGTTATATGAGACGGCACTAAATTTGACAACATAGTACCTTTAAAAAAAGTTACCGGTGAAAAAGTGTTGTTCATGTCTAGTACATATATTTCTTAAATGCCAGTCCCGCCTTTGGTCATTTATTGACAGTTATTAATTTTTTTTTTTTTAGTAAAAAATCCTACGTATCCTTTCAAAAAATAAAACAACACAATATTTATTCAGTTTTTTTTTTATTTACACTTTTAAAACTAAGCATTTATTTACAAAAAATAACAAAATAATACATTGATAGTCGCAAAAACAGTCCAAGATTTGTTTTTTTTTAGAAAAAAACTCACATTTTAAACCGTAAAAAATACTAAATAAACTTTAATTAAACTAAGGATCGTTTTCTTCTACGTTTTGATTCCATTATTTTTGCTTAATATACGAATATTTACTAAATCACTAGAAGAAAAAAAATGCGTTTTTCTTAATTTTTTTTTTCTAAAAGTTGTTTAACTTTTGGAACTTTTAAAGACTAGATAGACACAAACTTTAGATTAACGTTTCGAACACTGACGTCACTAAATAGACAGGCTACTTGTAATTTAATTTTCGCTATTTTGGCGCTGATGGTTGCAATTTGTAGTGATTTTGGAACTAATAGAGTTAAGTCATTAAAAGATGCGAAAGCTGAACGCAAAATCTGGCATTTCCAAACAATCGCCTATCTATTTATACAGATCTATGGTTATCAAGGGTGTACAAGCCACCTCCATTTAAAAAAAAACGATTTTTTCTCATCCTACCCATTTTTTCTACATATTTGAGAAGTATGACGTCACAAGGATTAGGCATTTTTTTAATACTTTTTGTTTGAAATTTTTCTTTTTATATCGTTTATTTTTCTTCCTTTTTTATGCAGTAACTGCAAATATCAGCATCGAAAATAGATGAGCATTTTAAACAATATTTTATATCAGTAGTGCTCGGAACTATTATAGAATTTTTCGTATCCAAGCAATCGTTACAGGTTTTTGCATTTTTTAGCTTATTTTTCGCTTTTTTTTGTGACTTTTTTGTATCTTTTTTCGTCAGTTTTTTACATTTTTTGTAATAAGAATTTAATTTGCTCTTATCGATTTCTTCTATTGATGGTATTTCATTTTTTATTTCGATTTTTTCACTTTTAGTTTCTGAATTTCTTGCTGTTTCTTCATCGGAATTGATTATTTCAAATACGGTTACGTATTCTTCGTAATCACTTGAAATAACTTCGTCTTTTATTGTTAATGGTATTTCGTTATTTGAAAAATTTTTTGTTTCTTTAAAGTTTTTTAATGATTTTTCGAAATCTGCTTCAATATATTCATTCTTTATATCAAATTGTATATCGTTATCCGATGATTCATTATTTTCTCTTTCATTGTTTGCAGTTTTTAATGATTTTTCCAAATTTTTTGTTTCATTTTCAACTTCATTTTTTATATTTAACGATTTTGCAACATTTTTTGCTTCTTTTGTTGGAACCCAATCTTTTATTATTTCGTTATTTGATAAATCATTATTTTTTATTTCATTATTATCAATTTTTAATGATTTTTTGGAACTAATTTTTTTCATTGCTTTAGATTTTTTATTTCTGTTTAATATTTTTTCTCGCGGTATCCCAATTTTCAAATTTTTAATATGTTTCAATGATTCCAGATTTATTTTTACATTACCAATGTCGAGAATATTTAAATTTTCAGTCTGTGATTTTTCAGTTTGTGACTTTTCGATCTGAGATTTTTGTGAACTTTTAGATTTTTTTGTATAGAACGCTTTATGTTTATAGTGTTTTTGTTTCGGTGAATTTATTTGTTTACTTTTAGCCTGTTCTATATCTTCTATAGGTATTTTAATGTTTTCCAAATGTTTTAGAATTTCATTATCAAATATAGAAATGTCAATATAGGCTGAATCTCCGCTTATATCAGCTATTTCAGGTTTCCCTTCTTCTTTATTATCTTCAAAAACATCCTCCTTTTTAATCTCTTTTACTGTATTTTCAGTATTTTTTAATTTATTTTTCATTGCACTTAATAAATCTTCCAGTTTGTTTCGTTTCGAATTAAATTTAGAATCAATTGTTTTGTTTGTTAGATTATTTTGTAAAGGATTTTCGTTTATTGAGTCGTTCTTAAATTCTTCTTTAACAATCTTCTGTGGCGTTCTTTTTCTTGCTTTTTTCCTTCTGCAACTTGGGACTAGGTCCGGCATTGATGTTAATGTGTTTGTTTGTATGATTATTGGACCTGAAAAAACATTTTTTCATATATACAGGATGTTTTAAAATGTGTGTTTAGATACTGGCATCATGTGTAAATAAACAATTTTATTTAAAACTTAAATTCGTAAAATCATACTTATTACTTTTACTTCATACTTATAGCGAATATTTGTATGGATGTTTGTTACATATATTTAAAATTACTTAACATATCTCAATAAATCTCATAGATGTAGAATAGTCTGGAAGAACACATAAGCTATTTAAAATTTTTTAATTCCGCACAAATGAAGTCGCGGGCAAAAATTAGTCACAAAAACTATAAGAGCTATAGCTCGTATATATATGCTTGCTATGTATGCTAAGAGCTATATATATATGCTTTATCAATTATAAATTAAAAATAGACAAAATTACTTTTAATGCTAAGACCGCTCAGGACAAACAGAAAGGTCTTGAATTACAAAATAAGCAAAATTTTTTATTGCTTAATCTCTTAGACAACTTTCTTAACTTCCATATATTTAATAATACATTATTTTGTTTATTAAAAATTTTGCCCATCTATATATATACTATATACTATTATAATAAAGCGTAAACACTTCTTTGTTGCCTAAGATGTCAGTATACAGCATATTTTTGAATAATTATTTTTTTAATAAAAAGCCCTACACTTAAGTCACGCTCTAGGCTATATATTTTCACGCTATTAAACTAAGGGTGTAAATATTTTGGATAAAAACCTAAATGTGGGAAAGAGAACATAAGTTGCTGCCAACATCAAGGAAAAAAGATTGCTAAGGTTTGTCATGTCATGTCATTTTGACATTTGGTAATGATAATTTGACATGTAAACAATAAAATAAAACTTTCATAATTACACAGCTATTTTTAATAAAATTGGCAGAATCATTATTTTTAATGCTACGCTTAGTTCAAGATCTTACCTTCCATATAATTACCATCAGGTGGATCCTCCCACCAGACAGGACTGGGACATGTTAATATCTCCATCAGACCCTCATCATCCAGTTCATCATCAGCTCTTCGTATCACTTCATCAAAGCTCACATCTGAATCTAGACTTGATGTACCTTCTATATCAGATGTTGGGTTGGTTTCCGTTCTTATATTTGAAGGTTTTGTTTCTGTAAAATGTTATCATCATTTGTATTCAATATTATATATATATATATATATACTAGCTTTCGCTCGAGACTCCGTCCGCGTGGAATTAAAAAAACAAAAGTGAGTAGCCTATGTGTTCTTTCAGACTATCCTCTACATCTGTACCAAATTACTCCGAAATCCGTTCAGCAGTTTACGCTACAAACTCTAACAAACATCCATCCATCTAAACTTTCGCATTTATAATATTAGTTAGATTACTATTCCAGACTATGTTCTAAATCTGTGACAAATTTCATCGAGATCCATTTAGTAGTTTAGGCTACAAACTCTAACAAACATCCATCTAAACTTTTGCACCTATATATATAAAAGAAAGTCGTGTTACTTACACTATTCATAACTCAAAAATGGCTTTACCGATGGCTGAAAATTGGTGAGGAGGTAGCTTAGAGCCAGCAGACGGATATAGGATACTATTTATTCCGTTTATGGATGGATGTTTCTCACTCTCAATGAAATTTGGTATAAATGTAGATTGTCTGGAAGAATACATAGGCTATTTTTTTTAAATTCCGGACGGAGTCGCGGGCAAAAGCTAGTTTATAATATTAGTATGTGAAAGTTTAGATGTATGTTTGTTTTTATCCTAAACTGCTGAACGAATCTTGAGTGCCATACATGTAGAGTTTGGAAAAACACATAGGATACTTTTTGTTTTTTTAAACTGCAGACGGAGTCATTGGCAAAAGTTAGTTCTAATTAAAAATATCTTGTCTCCTTCGGATAGTATGAAATTTGAAAATAGAACATAGGCACATAGTGACATTTGAACCTGGACTTACTAGATTTCTAATCCAGTTAATTTCTTAGTAACTGCACCACCCTTCTTTAGTAGTTATGTGGTCAAATTACTTGTGTAAATTATGAATGTGGTACTCCGGTGAAGGTAGATGTAGAAAGTATTGTGTGAAAATGACTAAGATGACATATGATAGAGTTATTTGGAGGAGAACCGGGTGCTGACACTATGGGAGTAGGATAAGGGGCAAATGATTATGATATCACTTACTTATTCCCATTCTTTTTCTTTTATCGTCATTCCAGTCAATAACTTTCAAATCTTTCTTCGGTTTTAATACAATTTTTTTAACGATTTTCTTCCGTTTCAATTTATTCGGATGATATTCATCGTTAACATTTATTTTTAATTTCTCTTTATTTTTAATAGGTGTTTTCTGTTTCTTTGATTTCGGTGATTTTAGAACCTTCGATGATTGATTTTTTTCTTTTATTTCTCTCTTTTGCTGTGACAATTTGAATCGCGTCAACATTATGCTACGTTCGAAAACTGGCCGGTCTTTTTTCTCTTGTGATTCCATGATTTTCTGAAAAAAAAAACAATAAAATAAGTTGACCATAAATGTCATCATCACCAGATCACTATACGTCCTTACTGAGGGGCTCGGAGCATACACTAAGTAAGGGGGGACTGAGCCATAGTCAACTATGCCGCACTGCGGTTTGAATTCACACATATCTTTGAATTTCTTCACCAATATGTGCATCACGATGTTTTCCTTCACCGTAAGAACTTCGGATAAATTATGTACATATGAAAATTCGAAAAGGACATAAGTACAGCAGGATTCAACCCAAGACCTGTAGATTACAAGTCAAAAACCACTGAGTCACCGATACACTTCATTAAATGTAAAACTCTCTACTAATGTTTCAAAATCCAATACAGTAGACCATAGCTACACAAACTGGACTGGAATTCAATTGACACAAACTTTAATCATAACTAGTGTCTATACAATTCATGCCTGGCTTGCAGTACTATCCAACTGTACTGGCTAAGTGTTGGTAGGTATGTCTGTAGACATAACAAAGTTATTTAACAATCCACCTTTAAGAAACCCTAGGTATTAGTCGTCAAGATTATAAGAAACTTTGGTTAGTATAAATATTAAAGGTTAGTAAAAAAAATAATAATCTATACTAATAATATAAAGAGGAAAGATTTGTATTTTTGTATGTATTGTAATAACTCAAAAACTCCTGGAATAATTTTAAAAATTCTTTCAACATTAAAAAGCTTATCAGTAAGTAACATTGACTATGTTTTTTATTATTTTTTAAGTTCTTACAAGCGAAGTCGGGAGCAACAGCTAGTGAATTAGAAAAAATATATACTATATATCATTCCTAAGGTCCAAGATTTACCCCCGAGCGTTACCAGACCTGATGGAGGTTAACAATGGAGTAAATAATGGGGGGCCAAAAACTGTAGTTAAGTAACAACAGCAGGTTTACAATATAACAATTTCTAAGCCTCAAAATGTGTAATGCACAGATTATGATGGAAATTTGTTAGAATTTATCCAGACTAGAGAATGGTTATCATCATCCACTTGCCCTTATCCCTTATGGATGGTCGGTACAGTATGTGCTGCTCTTCCATACATCTCTATCAGCCGTCATATCTGAATCCACTCCTTTCTTAAGCAAATCCTCTTTCACACAATCCATCCATACTTTCTTCGGTCTTCCTCTTCCTTTGTAGCCATCCACATTAATTTTTAACACTTTCTGGTTTATGTCCCCATCATCATCAGACTAGAGAATGGTTATGAAACACTAAAAATAAATTAAAAATCCTATTACTATTAGGAATAAATTATTCATAATGTTAAACACTAACTGTCGCTCCTGACTTCGTCCACGTAAATCAGAAATTAAAAAAAATACAGTCTATGTTACTCAGCCATTACATTTTTAATGGTGAAAGAATTTTTGAAATCGGCCCAGTAGTTAATGAGTTATTTCAATATTTACAAAAATCCATAAATACAAATCTTTTCTTTTTTATAATATTAGTAGATGTAATATATCAGCCTAGCTTTCTGTATTTATGAATAACAGTCAAATGCCATTTTTCTCTTGATACAAAGCATTCTAATTTTTGCTGTTGGATTACAAAACATGTTTCATTCACATTTGTATTTGTTTTTTGACACTAAATACATAAAATCAATATTTCACCAACTAAAATGAATATTTAAATAACAATTTTCGTATAATTTATGTAATGTGGCCTCAATGTAAATTTGGTTTTCAGAATTACTTTATATTCATAATGCTATCACATTTTATAAATACAAAACAATTGTAACTATTCATCCAAGTTGACTTCCAGATTAAATAATGATTTTAATCATTTGAAATTGTAAATAAATGTTTTAAAATGTATTGTTATATACATACGTAAATGCGTAATATGTAGCCATTCGTTTCAATTACTGTAATACTATTTTGTTATAAATGCAATCATTATTTTTATTGTTTTAATCAAAGTAGTCAACAATCAAAGTAATCAAAGTAACAATACTCAAAACCATGTTAATTTGTTACTTGTACGAACGTAAACTATTATGCTTCATAAAAATAATCAATTACGATTCAAGCATGAAACACCTTTAAATATTTCTTGTTATTTACTTACCAAAATCTCCTTTTTAGATATTACAACGATTAAAACACTATTTAATAGAAGAAATACATGAAAAGTACCATTCCGTCGAAAACACTGTTCGTGATCCTTTCTAAAATTAAAAAAAAAACTTACAGGAGAAACGTCAAGATTCAGTTGAACCCATGTCGTACTAAGTTTGTAAAACTAAATTGTTGATTCACAAATGATTCATATACAAACTAAAATTTTAATCTAATTTATCGTAACACTGATAACCAGTACGCAGTTATTTAATTTGATTAACGAATTTTAATGTTTGGAATCTCAAACTACGATACATAACCCCAGGGAAACCCTGTTGAGATGCTTTGCTTTATGCAAAATTGCAAAGGCAAAGGTGCAAAGAAATAATGATTAGTCGAATCGAGTAGAGTTCATTAATGGTAATCGATAATCGATATTGATTTAATAAGTCGATTAAATCCATTTGTGGTAATTTAAGGAAATAAATATTGCACCGTCAAGAAGATTTCGTTTTAATCCATGATCATAAACACCTTCAGTTAAACTTGAAAGATTATATAAATTAAAAACATCTATAACGTAAGATCAAATATAGTTTTTACAAGCATACTCAATTCAAGGACTTTGTTGTAAATTATGCACATTTAATAGAACTAACAGTAAGAGTTGTTTTTTGGAACCATATAAATGGAACAAAAAAGGTTTTCACAGATTTGAACATTTATTTTAGTTTGCGTAAAACGATATCGGTCGGATGTCGATGTATCGAGATCAATCGATGAGGCTTCAACGGTCCTGTTAGTAATTTAATCTGTAGTCGATCATAATCTACATTTTAAAATACATAAATGCTATAATTAAATGAATGTACCTTCTTTGGCTTTTCCCATTTTTATTTAAAAGCTTTTAACAATAGTAATTTTATATCTATAAATTTTAAATGAAATTATAAATAAGCTGTAATAGGTTTCCATTTTCTGTTGTATCGAAACGTAATGTCATTTGATTTTTGACAATTCCCATTTATGGCGGCAAATTCATAGTTGTCAAAAAGTTTATTGTATTTACTACTATAGTATTGTATTTGTAATTTTGAGTAGTAAATAAAATAATTCTTGTTATTCATAATGTCCATTCAAGTTGAAAACAATTTAAAAAATAGTGATAATACAGAAAAGTTGGAACAAAAAGCGCATTACGTCCCGTGTAAGATAGAGTCCGATGGTAATGCGAACGTAGAGAAATATTTTGAACCTTACGTTACTGAAAAGGAGAATGGAGGTATTTTTTTAGTAAAACACTTATGTCGATAATCGACTTTTATCATTAATGTAAACTTAACACATTTATTTGATATCTTTTTTTAGAATTAACTGGTACCTTTCGTGGACATCACCTCGATGGTGTTAGAATGAGTCTGCCCAATGGATACAGAGCTGTCCTGGTCACAGAAGCTAAGAAACCACTAGCTGAAGATGCTGATAGAAGATTTCAGGTAAAAATACTTTAATGTTATGTCAAAACTGATAAGATGTTGTTTACTATATCCATATTAACTTTCGCCTGCGACTATGTCCGTATGTAATTATAAAACAAAGGAAGTAGCCAGTGTTTTCTTCCAGACTATTTTCTACATGTATGACAAATTTCATAGAGATCTGTTCAGCAATTTTGGATACAAACTAACAAACATCCATCTAAACTTTCTCACTTATAATATTAGTAAGGTTAATTAATGCCCTGGCTAATTCTGCATTTATTGTGTTTTTTGTATTTTTTTTTACAACATAAGGTGGCAAACGAGCAAGCGACCATCTGAATCCGCCAAAATGGCGAAACGACCGCTGCCCATAGACATCCGCAATTGCAGATGCGTTGCCTACCCGTCTCCGACAGAGGAGACGCACATAAAGAGGATATTTCCCCTTCCTATGCTTCTCCTCCACCATCAAATCCACTTCCCATTCCCATGCTCTCCTTATAAGAAAAGGGTGGTAAAGAGAAAGGGGCATAAATTAGGCCTCCGGCACCACACTCATCAGACGAAACACGGCATTGGTTCCATTTCACGTCTGTCTTCTGTGTGGTTGTGGTATTACACCGGGCGTGCCGGCCCTGCAGTGCTAAGATGTTAAAGCGGGCACTACCACTGTTGTTTTTGTATATCCTCAGGTTGCTGGTGGATTTAAAGAGTTTGTTTACTGGAATTGGGATAAAAAACCATCAAAGAATGATAACATAGCTAAAGGGTTTGAATGGATGGACATTGCTGATGCGGTAAAGATGATTTCCAATTTTATTCTTGTTGAAAACAAAATAGCATGCTTGAAGCTTATCAGATGTTCTGACAGTTAAAACTTAACTGTGCAGTTCAACTGATGGTATTATTTGTCTGTATTTATAGTTTTAACTTGATGGTTAAACTGTTTGGTTAACACCGACACCGAACCTCAGGTTTACTGTAGAGTATATTTGATTTATACTTTTGTTAAATTTCTATTCAAAATAATTATTTTCTGTCCTTTTTTAGTTCAAATAGAATTATGTATAACTAGCTCTCGCCCGCGACTCTAACCGCGTTAATTTAAATAAAAACAAAAGTGAGTAGCCTATGTGCTCTTCCAGATTATCCTCTACGTCTAAGCCAAATTTCATCTAAATATGTTCAGCCGTTTAGGCTACAAACTCTAACAAACATCCATCTAAACTTTCGCATTTATAATATTAGTAAGATTGATATCTGTTATTTTTTTCAGATACATGGTGATTGAAAATATATCAAGACTAGCTGTTCTCATGTGGCTTTATCTGCTTGAGAAATTCAATTTTTTTTTATAACATAAGATGGCAAGCAAGCGGCTACCAATATCCACCAAACTGTGAAGCGACGGCTGCCAGTAGACATTCGTAATAGCGGATTAGTTGCCTACCCTCAATCGACAGAGATGCACATAAAGAGCATATTTCCTCTTCCTATGTGTCTCCTGCAGTCAAAACCACATTCCCTTCCTATCCTTTTGTTATAAAAAAGGGTGGGAATGAAAGGGGACTAAAGTTGGGCCTCCGGCACCACACTCATCAGATTGTACGCGGAATTGCTTCCACTTCACGCCTGCTTTGTATGGTCGTGGTATTACTGGGACGAGCCCTACTGTGCGAAGATGTTAAAGCGGGCTCTACTACTGTTAAATTCAAATGCAGAAATGACTGAAGGCTTTCAACACTTGATAACAATTACCGTTACCATAATAACCTTGCTTCCTTGATGTTGGCAGCAACTTATGGTCTCTTTCCCACATTAGGGTTTTTATCCAAAATATTTACCCCCCAACTTTAATGGTGTTAAAATATATAGCCTAAAGCGTGACTTAAGGGCTTTTAATTAAATAAAGTATTATTCAAAAATATGGTGTAATTGCTGACATCTTAGGCAACAAAGAAGTGTGTGTTTACGCTTTATTATAATAGTATAGATGTAGGTTTTAATTAAGCAAAAGAAATGTAATAAAAATCAGACAACTGCATTTGAAATACTTAAACTAAGTTCAGGAAACTCCTAAGTTAATGAAATAAGAACAATTGAAGATTCACTAAGACAGTAAACCTTGTTATGATTTTATTGAATTTTGATATTATAATTTTGTTTATAAATAAATAAAAAACAAATAAAGTATTGAAATAATGCATGAAATAGTTTTTTTTTAAACCGTCATTTCTCCAATGATTTTATATTATGTAAAAAAATTAAAAAAAAATTGACTTCCAAATAAAACATTCTCAATGCTTCTATGCACATTGCGAAGGTACTTCTAGAACTAGAGTCGAAAATTATAAAAAAAAGTACACAAATAATTTCAAAATGCGATACTGATGACCCCCCTCCCAGATTATCGAAGGTCGACAGCAATGCATTTCTCTAGCATATCTTGTACTTTTTAAAATAATAATTTGACAAACCAGCCAGACTTGAATTCGCCGAAAAGCCAAGCGACCGCTACCCGCAAGACGAGACGACATAAAAAGGATATTTCCCCTTCCTATGCATCACTGTCAAATCCACTTTCCTTTCGCATCCTTTTAGTATAAGTGTGGGAAGAGTAAGGGACTAAAATAAACTTAATCTTAAAAAAACAATTCTTGTTTATGAGTTTATTGTTTATGGAACAGTTTCATACGTTGTTTGTAGTATTTAGGCGGTACTGTGAGGTTAGGATCGATATCTGATATGTTCTGCTCGTTCACATATATTGTTACAGGGGACGGACTTGTTACCTGGAAAATACAAGTATGTTGACCCCCCAAATTGGTCAAGGACCCCGAATTCTACTATACTAGCTGTTCCCGTGCGGATTCATCCGCGTATAATTATAAAAACTTTATTGTTTACATTTGTCAAATTCTCAATTGCAAATAAAATTACCGTCACCATAACCTTGTTTCCTTAATGTTGGCAGCTTGTAGTTTATGGTCCCTTTCCCACATGGAGGTTTTATCCATTTTATTTACCTCCTAAGTTGTATAGTGTGAAAATATATAGCCTAAAGCGTGTCGTTAGTGTAGGGCTTTGTGATAAAGTGAGAATTATTCAAAAATATGCTGTGATTGCTGACATCTTACGTCACGAAGTACTTTGTGTACGCTTTATTATATTAGTTTAGATGAAATAATGAAAAATAAAAAATATATTTTATACATACAGCATGATCATGCAGGGATGTTAGATTAATACTGTCGTTATCTCCCCACGGCTGCATTGTAGAGGGCAAAGGAAGGTCACTTGGTTTTAAACTGTCGATCAAACTATGGATATACTCTCTGAAAGTATATAACAACTTTATTGACGCTGGAGTTGTGTGCCCGCTGTAAAATACCTTTTAGCTACGGCACTCAGTGCCGGATTCGCAATATAGCATCATCATGCCCTTATCCCTTACGGAGGGTCGGCACAGTGCTGCTCTTTCGTACATCATTATCAGCCGTCATATCTGAATCCACTCCTTTCACGCATATCCTGTTTCACAATATCCATCCCTACTTTCTTCGGACTTCCTCTTCCTTTGTACCCATCCACATTCAATCTTAACACTTTCTGGTTTATGATATCGACTCGTCGCATAACATGTCCATACCACGCTACGGTTTTGCTTCTCAATTTCTCCACCTCTGGCGCTACCTTTTTTTTATAAGAGGACGGGGCAAACGAGCGGCGTGAACACACTGTTTTTTTTCTTCTTTGACTGGGACCAACAACCATCGATACTTAGATAGCGATCGATTGTTTACTTTGATCTGCGCAGTTTATAACCTGTCCATTTAACAAGGTCAGTTTACAACATACCCTGCTAATTCGAAGCCCATGTCCTTGAAATCGTTACGTTCAGCGACTGAAAGCGGGCTGTGAAGTATCGGATGGTTGTCCAACGCCGCGACGACGCTCTCCAAATACTTATCGAAGTTCTCCTCGGCCTCATTTTGTCGCAGGAACCGAAGTCTGAAAAATACTCTTAACTCGCATCGGCTTTGTAAGAGATCAATCTATGTCTATATCCATACTTCTATCTTACCTTACTAGTGCGAAAGTTTAGATGGATGGATGTTTGTTAGAGTTTGTAGCCTAAACGGCTAGACGGATCTCGATGAAATATGGCATAGATGTAAAGGATAGTTTGGAATAACACATAGGCTACTTGATTTTTTTTTTACTACTTGCGGACGGTGTCGCAGGCGAAAGCTATACTAATATAATAGAGCGTTAACACACAATACTTTGTACCGCAGGATGTCAGTAATCACAGCATATTTTAAAATAATTATTTCTTTTATAAAAAGCGATACACTAACAACAAGCGTTAGGTTATACATTTTCGCGCTATTAAAAAATTGAAAAAAAAAACCTTCACGTGGGAAAGGGACCAAAAGTTTCGCATTTATATTACTAGCTTTTTCCCGCGACTACGTCTGCGTGGAATTTAAAAAATAAAGCGAGAGCGTATGCACACTATTGACTAAACTATCGCACGTCCGTTTAGTCTTTGATTTCGTAGATTGAACACTACTCGATTTTTAGTTGTGCAACTAAACAGTTGAATTGGCTACGGAACAATCGACAATCGCGTAACTGTTAAAGTTTAGTCAAGGTGTGCTAAGTATCCTATGTGTTCTTTCAGTTTTTTATACATCTGTGACATCATCGAAAATTTTTTACTACATACCTTTTAAAGCCACTTGGTCGTCCGCTTCTCAATGTGTTTGCTTTCCTCAATATCTCAGGGTGGAGTGTACCGCTGTTGTTAACGTGGTACATTTTCTCTATCTTAGAAATTAAATCTTTACGAAACGTCTCCAACAAATGATCAGCAAATTCATCTCTTTCCATTTTTAAATTATCCATCTGGAATGAAGAGAAATGGCTAATGATTTTCAGCAAAGCAGTTGGGAATTGTCAGAAATAACACACTTGCATGCCAGCACACGCGCTAAGCATATTCTTGCGTGCCAGTTATTGGCATTACACACTGGCAGAACACTGGTAAAATATTTTATTTTGTGCCTACGTGCATATAACTTTAGTGAAGGGACGAGGGGAGCTTGATAATGGCAAGCCAAGGCGGTATTTCCAAACCAGTACGACTTAGAGTCCGTCAAGAAGCTACCATTTCCTTAAAGGCAACTTGCCGGTAGTTCCTCTGATGTTGTCGATGTCCATGGGCGTTCTGACCACTTCTGTTTTCGCTGCTCGTTTGCCCCCTTTTCTTTAAAAAAGTCATACGATCTCGTATGATTTTACAGGGATTTGAATGTTTTGTGCCAGTAGCTAGCATGATAGCTACCTCGTTTTCCCGACATGTGTATTTCCTTCTTAACACAACCTTTTTTATGAATTTTGCTAATTTTTAAAGAAAGTAGGGTTGTTTCTACTTCAAGTCAAGTGTCATTGGAATGTGTTATGCAATACTAGCTTACGTCTCTTTTGTATAAAAATAAAATGTGGGATAAAAATAAATAAGTAGCCTATTTGTTCTTCCAGACTATATCTACATCCATGTCAAATTTCATCGAGATCCGTTCAGCAGTTTAGGCTACAAACTCTAACAAACAACCATCTAAACTTTCACATTTATATTAGTAAGATGTGTTAAGAAAATTAGTACTGCGCTCTAGAATTGATGCAACACTAGTTTATCGGCATAAAAGTCGCGTCCCTAGCTGACAGCTGTCAATGTCATTAGAAGGAATGATATATTCGCGCACATTCCTGACGAGATCTCTAGTGCAATGTTAAATTAATATTGCTAGTTACAATTATATTAATTGTTTAAAAGAAGTAAGGTGGAAGCTTTACCTGATCATTAAGAATTGCGAGATATTCCGGCGTTCGTCTTAACCGCAGTATGACAGAACTAAGAGGTTCCCCGAACAATTTAATTGCCTCCATTTCTACGTCATAACGTTTGCTTGATGAAAGATCGGTTATCACTGACGAAGGAAACTTTTATTTTTCAACATTAATGTTTTAAAACACTTTGATAACATTTAATCTATTTTTATTTATACTTCTATATCTATACTATTATAATAAAGCGTAAACACACACTTCTTGTTGCCTAAGATGTCAGCAATTACAGCATATTTTTGAAATACCTTTTTTTAATAGAAAGCCATACACTTACGTCATGCTTTAGGCTTAGGGGGTAAATATTTTTGATAAAAACCCCAATGTGGGAATGAGACCATAAGTTGCTGCCAACATCAAGTATGTCATGTCATGTCAGTTTGACATTTGCTATTGTTAATTTGACAAACGTAAACAAAAAAATAAAATTTTCATAATTTCATGCGGATGAAGCCGCACGAGAACAGATAGTACAAACAGAGAAAATTTGTATTTTTGTATGTATTTAAATAACTCAAAAACTACTGGGTTGATTTTTAAAATATATTTCACCATTAAAAAGCTAGTGTTACCAGAGAGTAAAATAGGCTATATTGATTATTTTTTAATTTAAGACGAAGTCGCGAGCAACAGTAACTACTCAAGGACAATAAATGTTTTCTAATGGTAATAGAATATCTAATATTGTTCCAGTAGTTTTTGAGTTTACTCCTTAAAAATCTTTTCGTAAAATATACGTGTTAAGGTAAAGTACAAGATCAAATTAATTTCTGATAAAAAAAACGAAGGTTATAGAAGCTTCTAGTCGTAACAAGCTACCATTCAGTTCGTATGTTTTAATGAGTAATTCGTGTTGAAATAAAATAATTAGGAATTGAGAAGCAAAAGGTTAGCGTGGTATGGACATGTTATGCAACGAAATGATGGGGACATAAACTAGAAAGTGTTAGGATTGAATGTGGATGGCTACGAAGGTAGAGGAAGACTGAAGAAACTATGAAAGAGGATATTCGTGAACGGAGTGGATACAGATATGACAGCTGATAGAGATGTATGGAAGAGCAGCACTGTGCCGACCTAAGGGATAAGGGCAAGTTGATGATGATGATGATACTGATAAATTAAATTAAATAAATAATATAATTATATGAATTTAAAGAAAATTCTGAATAAATTATAATATTTATATTATTTACCGAAATATAATCCCAATACAAAACTAGTCTTCATGTTTCGATTTGTTTTATAGTTATTTTTATAACAAATATAAATTGATCGCATAGGTTATAAAATTTATTTTATACTCGAAAAATAATTTAATAGCAATCCGTTTGTAAAGCATTAAATATATCCTATGTGAGTTTGTGATAATGTAGCTTTCTAATGGTGAAAGAATTTTTGAATAAACCCCAGTAGTTTTTGAGTTTCTTCGTTACATCTATCGAAGATGCCACCACTTGTATTAGATATGCGAAAGTTTATACAACAGATAACTCCTAAGGGTTCAAGAGATCTTAAAAATTTTTATACCTATCTATATTAATATTATAAAGAGGAAAGATTTTATTTTTGTATGTTTTTAAATTTCAATAAATATCTCAAAAACTACTGGGCCAATTTTAAAAATTACTTTCATCCCTAGAAAGGTAATTTATCTGTGAGTAACACAGGCTATTTTTTTTTAATTCTACGCAGACGAAGTCGAGACCAACAGCTATTGTGGGATATGGTGTGGCTATATATGCTACTTATTTTTTTTCAATTCCAATCGGAATAATCGCAGGCAAAAGCTAGTTATAAATAAAAACATTACACAAAGAAATGTTTAATCGTCTTCATAAACAGTTTTCGTAGCTATGTAAGGTATGAAAGTTCTGCCTAAAGATTGAGAGATTCTTCCCCCCCGTTTGTTAGGATTGAACTCCTTGTCTACTGGTCTTTTTCTCACAAAATCATCCTCTTTTTCCCAAACATCACCTCTAGGAAACTTCTTCTCGGCATACTTCGGTCTACTCGGTACATCGCGGTCTTTTGTGAATTCTTTCAACACAACATTAGCGGATATCTTTTCTTTTTTATCGAACTTTAAACCAGCATCTAAATTTTCGTCCGATATCTTTATTCTTTTGTCGTCTTTTTTCTCTATCTTCGGTCTTTTCCCTTCTATAATCTGTGGTATTCTTTTATCTCTGGCTATTTTAAAACGTCCCTTCTGATTGACCGTCTTACCGTTTCCCAATTCGGGGTCCTTTGTAATTTTACTTCCGTGGTTTTTGTGTTTCGCTCGATTATGATGTTTGTCTCCGTTTTTGTCTTTAGGCGGTCCTGAAACTTTATGATAAAGAGGGCATACGAACGGCTTGGATTCGCCAAAATAGCGACTGCTACCCATAGTCATAGCTGGTCATAGGTATATAGCCTTAAATCAAGGGAGGAAAGGAAAGGAATAGGATGTAGCCACTTATGCATTCGGCTCAATCAATCGTTTCTTTTCAACAAAAAGGTTGGAAGGGAAATGGACTAAATTTAGGCATTACTCATAGGTGAGCCAATTTAAAATATAGCCATATAGTTAGTCACTGCGAGCTTTGGTTGTTGAAGGGTAAGAACTTGACTTCTAATCTTACAGGTCCTGGGTTCGAATCCCGTCATAACACTATGTAATTTTCGAATTTCGTTTGTACATAATTTACTAGACATTCTTACGGCGAAGGAAAACATCGTGATGTCTGCACATATATGGGTGTAGATATTCAAAGATATGTGTGAAGTCGCGCAGTGCAGGTTACTATAGTCACTAACTTAGGGTAGGCTCCCCTCTCAGTGGGGATGAAAAGAGAGCTAGTAATGATTTGGTTAATTGCTAAATTTTGGATATTTTTTAGCGTGTAACTCCAAAACGACTGAACGGATTTAGATGAAATTTCAAATAGAGATAGATCACAGTCTCATATTGGTTATGAGCTATTAAGATTGTCTTTAGCTACATCAGAAGGACGTTAAAGCCAATATAAATTAGAGTATTAAAACTAAGAGAGATATATGTTCTTACCTACAATATCAAACTTCCTATGTCGAGATAATTCATCTGTGAAAATTCTGTCATCATCTGAATAATCCGAGTCTGTGGAATCAGAAATTGAATCCGAAGAGGACCAAAGCCTAGAACTACATAAAGATTTCCATTAAGAGTGGGCGCACAATGTTGTGCGATTGTCAATTGTTTTGCAGTCAATTCAACCGTTTAATTCCACAACGAAAAATTGAGTAGTGTACCTCCATGTAAGCTCAAATCAAAGCGAGACTAAAGAGTTGTGCGATAGTTTAGTCAAAGGAGCGCACGCTCTTATTGTTGAGAGGAGAATAATACAGAAAGACTGTTAGGGGAAGTTTAAAAGTAGCGCCAGTAGTCGAGAAATTGAGAAGCAAAAGGTTAGCATGGTGGGCATATGTGGCGAAAGGAGGACAAATACAAGAAAGTATTAAGATTGAATGTGAATGGATATAAAAGTAAAGGAACACGGAATGGCTTGTGTGAAAGAGGCTATGCTTAAAGTGAATTCAGTTATGACGGCTAATAGAAATAGACAAAACTGTAGCACATATTGTGCCGACCCTTCATAGTGGTAAGGGCAAGCTGCTGAAAAGAATATGACAAAAGGGGAGACACAGAAAGAAGATGTTTCCTCTACATATGCTTCCCATCACCAAATACACTTCCCCTTCCAATCTTTTCCTTGTAAGAAAACCACTTCTCCGGCACGCCCGCTAGGCAGAATTGCTCCCACTTCACGTCTGTCTTCTGTGTGGTCATGGTATTGAGGGTCAGTCGGCCATTGTTCGAATATAATAAAGCGGGCTCTACCATTGTTAGAATGGTGTTGCCAGCACCTTACCCATTTGTAAAGAATTTTTATATTAAGGTGGCAAACGACCGAGCGGCCTGAATTCGACAAAAGGCGAAGCGACCCTTCCCATAGACAATTGCAGATGCGTAGCCTACCCTTAATAGACGGGGGAGACGCACATAAAGAGATTTTCCCTTTTATGAATCTCCACCAACAAATCCACTTTATTTCGCCATCCTTTTCTTTTAAGGGTGTGAAGGGGAGGGGATTAAAACAAGGCCTCTGGTAGAAAGTATGAAGAAAAGAAACCAGCAAGTTTGATAATTCATGAACAAACTTACGCGGAACCTCTAAGATTATTCCTATACAGTTCTAGAACTTCAGGGTTGTCGATATACAATAATCTAGGTCTTTTCTGTTCGTTGCCATGACGAAGAAGATTGTTATAATTCTTCTGTAAGAGATTTAATGCAGTAAGAATCCTCCCTTCTTGTTCGTTAATTATATTATTCTCGACGTCTGTATCTGAAATAGAATCAAAATGTAATACTTTGCCTTTTAACCATTTTTATAAGACGGCAATATAGAGATACTACGCAGAGCCCAGGACAGAACGAGCTGGTGGCGTACTGTCGACGCCCTCTGCCCCACTTTGGGGACATAGGAATAGTGGAGAGAAGAGAGAGAGAGATAAGAAGGCAAACAAGCAAGCGGCCACCAGAATCCGCCAAAATGGCGAAGCGACCGTTGCCCAGAATCCGCAATGCAGATGCGTTGCCTACCCTTAATCGATGGACAAGACGCACATTAACAGGATATGTCCACTACCTGTGCGTCTCCTCCACCGTAAAATCCACTTTCCTTCTAATCCATTACTCTTAAGAAAGGGCTGGATTGGAAAAGGGACTAATATGCTTACGGCAAGCACACTCATCAGATAAAACATGATATTGCTCCCACTTCATGCCTACTATAGGTCACTCCTCACTCAATAATTAAAGTTTCCTTTGTCATTTCTTCTAACAATTCCCGTAAGTATACATTGTTAAATATTCTAGTATAGTGCAGTGTTAAAAAGTCGAAAATCAATGTTTATTTTGCAATATTTCATTATTAGAAAAATACATTTTCACTGAGCTCATGAGCTATATGTTTTTTTAGAGCGTGCGCACACTTTTGAAACTATCGCACAACTGTTTGGTTTCGCTTTGATTTCTATGAGCTTATATGGAGGTACACTACTCGATTTTTAGTTGTGCAACTAAACAGTTGAAGCTGCGAAACAATCGACAATCGCGCACTCTTAAAATTGAGGTTATGTTTTTTGAATTCCGTTCGATCGGAATCACAGATAACAATTAGTTAGTTCTTAAATGTGTTAGATATTTCGACACAAATGACTTCCATTATAATTTAGACAGACGGCCATACTAACAATAATTGTAAATTACTTTGAAACACAAACAGCACTCCAAGGCGACAACGTAAAGATATCGAACATTCCGTGGTGACGACTTGAAAAATACTGAGTTGTTGGCGACTGAGGGCTTAGACTGCGACTGAGCGCCCGAGTTACTTCTTACCATGTATTTTATAAAACTATTCCTTCCGTTTCCTAATATTTTTTTAATATTTTCCTAATATTTTCCTAATAATATTGTTTAATAATACAGAGTATCTCAAAATAGTTTAAAAGCTAACAAATGTAATACTTGTCTTAATTAACCTTACCTTTAGGAACGAAATTACCCAACACTTTATTTTCCTTTTTCTCATATTCATCATAATGTCCATTTAAATATTTTATAATTCGTTTCAATTGTTCTCTGTTCTCTATAATTCTTGGATTCAGTTTTATTGATTCCAAATCTCTCTCCGGATGCAAACTTTCATGGCTGTTTCTATGCGTTGCCACTACGCTTATTAAAATACCTGTTATAAATAATGATTAGTTATCTATACTTATTATAATAAGCGTAAACACACTTCTTTGTTGCCTAAGATGTCAGCAATTACACCATATTTTCGAATAATTCTTTTTTTAATGAAAAGCCCTATACTTACGTCATGCTTTAGACTATACATTTTCACGCCATTAAACTTAGGGGGGTAAATATTTTGGATAAAAACCCTAATGTGGAAAAGAGACCATAAGTTTAAATAAGGTTAAAGCAAGATTGCCAAGATTTGTCATGTCATGTCATTTTGACATTTGCTATTGATAGTTTGACAAATGTAAACAATCAAATAAAATTTTCACAATTTCATGCGGATAAGGCCGCACGGGAACAGCTAGTTACTAAATAAGATTTCACACGCGAATTCGTCCACATCGATGAAAAAAATAAGTATTCAATCTATGTGTTCTCCCAGACTATCCTCTATATCTATAACAGTGGTAGTGCCTTTTTTTTTTT